TGCCACTCCACTAAATCCAGGTTTACATTGGCACGTCCCGTTCCCGTCAATGCCGTCAAAACACTACAAAAAAAATGACATAATTTCATAAAGTACACGCTGTCATTATAAGCATTAGTTATGTGAAAAGTTTTCTAATGTGCCTTTGTTAGAACTAAGGCGTTTCAGTTTTCACTTCAGAGGCCAGTATACAGATGATGAAGGAACTATACTGATAACAGATATTTATAGTTGAGATAAAAATTATCTTGAACAAAAAACCGACATTTTTTACCAGGTGTAAAAGACTAAATTATTTTTCTACGGCTTAGCGACCATTTGCAGGTTATTTAAAGCTAGAAAACATTTTTAAATTGTAAGAATATTTTGGAGATAATAAGGATTTAGTGATATAAGCCTTACTAATTAACCCATAGCTGGGGCACAATAGTTGGATTCATACCTTTCTATTATATAGGAATAAAGTGTCGCTGCCGATACTTGAGTTTGAACATAGATCGCCGGTGAGCAAACACAGGCGATCCCATTATTGAATTAAGTAGAGTAATTAAGTAGAGGAAACACACATGAAGAAAGGATCGCCATTTCTATTCTATCCCCTATTACTTTTCGGATCTCTATTTCTAATCTATCCTCTATTTCTATCTATTTCTATTCATTATACTATTTTCTATATGGATTACTATTCGGACGTTACTTTCGAGCGAGAATGATCGAGCAAGTACTATTAGTGCGAGTATTATTCGAAGGCGTCTGACACTAGTATTGTTTCAACGGCATACTGTAGTTGTATCGACGATTACAAAGTTTCTACTACAGCGAGCATTACGAAAATGACAACGAGTATTCGTTTACATTATAAAAGTGACAACGAGTGTTCGATGATATTATAAAACTTTCCTAAGTGTATTTGCGCGTAAGTGAATATAACGAACACATCGGGAATTGAAACTCGGCTCCCCGATTAAAAATCCTGGGACATTGTCCATTACAGCACACCATCCGTACACCCAAGCTTACAGTACCTGGTATTCCTAAGCGGTCAGCCACCTACGTAGCGATCAAACTCGACGTTCCTTATTACCGGTGATCGTACGGGAACCGGTGTTTCAACTTGATATGGCCGTGTCCAAAAGTAATAAGACTTAAGATAAATCTTTCCAAAATAGAAAATATGATCTGGAATTGGAGATCATAAGAATTCAGTATGCGAAATTAATAAATTATAAACACTTCAAATACTTTGGTGTATGGCTCACTTAAAAACAGATTTATATAAGTATTTATGGATAGGAGATAGGTGAACTGGATATATGGTAGATTGCACTAGGGGTAGCGGGGTGTCCAACATCCGTAAAATGCTCGATCACAATCATGAGTCCGGTAACATGTCTTGCTCGTACATTGATTTCTCAATCCGAGCCGCAATCCATTACTCAACTGTACCTCCATTGTAAGAGGATACAAAACCAAAATATTAACGTAAGAACTCAATTCCTGTTCTTAAATAGCCTCGTTAGATGTAAGCTCTCATATGGATGGCATGCATGGCGTTCAACGCGTTCAGAAATATCTAAACTATCAGCTATAGACAATCGCTTTCTCAGATGAAGGATAAAAAATGGCTTCAAGCGAATGAATCCTCTAGGTTTTAAAGAATACTTCATCAGATCTCACATACAAGCGCTTGAGAATCACAAAGAAATTAACCAAATAACAGAAACCATATCAGTTTAAGATGTTCAGCAGCAGCAACAACTAAAATGGGCATTTAATTCAAAGAGAAACTAATGACATAATGAAAATGTTAACTTTCTACATTACTTTAAACAAAAGGTTAGGAAGCAAATTCGCTTTAGTACTAGAAAGAGCAATAACAGTTAGTGGACTTGAAAAACTTATTTTCTTGTAAATAACATTTTAACTGAAAGATTTTATGAATTTCAACCGACACTAACACTAACTGTTCGGTCAATGAATTGCTATTACTATTTCCCAGGGCTGGTGCAAGGGTCTTGTGCCAACCTCCAATCTATAATGCGCACCTATCTATGATACGCCTCCACTCTATAATGCGCACCCATCTATGATACGCCTCCACTCTATAATTTTAACATTATGGATAAAAAATAGTGAATTTAATATAGTGTTTTTTGGAAACTTCAGTCAGTTATGTGCCATGCGCGATAGACGCTTAGGCGATTATGTGGCTTTTGATACATGACTGACGAGGTAGAATTTTTCCGCAGTAGGAGGCCATTTCTTTCTACGGTAGACGAGTTGCTGTAGAATCATTACTAAAAATAATAAAATAACTATATTATTATGTATACCCAGGGCTGGTGCCAGAGTCTTGTAGCTACACCCTTACGAATCTATGATACGCCCCCCCCCAATCTACTACATCTCAATTTTCATAAGGTAGTATTCATATAAAATGCAAATTTCATTGTAACCTAATTATGTACAATAATGGATTATATACAATATAGGTGAACAATTCAACTAGAAAAATTGAAAATAAATACAATGTATCTAAATACAAATTAGAGACAAACCATTTTGATCATTACTTTTTAAATAAATCAAAAATGTTTTGCGGCAATTTAGAACATCAATTTGAGATTTTTCTTGTTAAAAGTTTGAATAATTTTAACACATTCAATATTATGACTAAAAAATAGTGAATTTATATATTTCTTTGAGATGAGCAAAACAAATTCAATGATTCGAATAAAAAATGAACCCAGAATGACGTCAAATTCCGCGAAAATTTTTCATACTTTAATAGTCAGTTGTGCTTAGTTTAATTTGTAGCGTAGATAAATGTAGTTAGAAAAAAGTAAATGTTGATAAGATAGTGAAGGTCACAAAACACCAACCGGGGTCCCTAATCAGACTCCCCCTCCCCGATCGAAGGATTCGGTGGTAGTACGCACCGGCCCTGCTATTACCAATGAATGAATACACAGTTAAAATTTTTTTTTGCTGTGCACACAGCTAATTTTTAAAATTTAATACTGGGTATGATCTCAATCTTTGAGGCCTTGTCAACTAACTTCATTCGAGCTTTCTCAGAGAATGCCCCTATATAAGTTGCTTATATATATATATATATATATATATATATATATATATATATATATTTATATATAAACTGGCCCATAAGTTTTTAACTATAAATGATTACAGCCCCGATTGTTTAGAATAATCGATCAACAAAACACCAAAAGTTTTTTGTCATATAAACTACATTTCAGTAAATTTTCATTACAATTTATATTTTAGTTGCGAAATACCCAGTGTTGACTGAGAACAGAAACACTCATAGAATTGTTTAAAATAACTGGAATGTTCGTGAAGTATTGCCATTAATTAGAACCTTCCACTAACCGCAACATTTGTAAGAAAGTCTTTGTAACAGCAGCGCTTGGAAGAAAATCTATTTTCCCATTTGTATTTCTCCCATTATAGGCATTATTATATCCATGATATAATAACACCGATATTTCACGGACAGAACGGAATGGCTGAAAGGAAAAAGAATGAAAAACATGTTTTGTTCTCAGAGAGACTTTTATACTACTAAGAGAACCACAAAACTATATATATATATATATATATATGTATATATATATATATATATATATATATACACGTGTCCCATGCAGAGAATAATATATTACATCTATTTACGCGGTTAAGCAGAATGCAATGAGAAACAAAAAAGTAAGTATCTTACATATAATATGGAGATACTTTTGAAAAACCATTTTTACGACACCAAATTCAAACAGGACCATTTCATCTATGTTCCAATCGAGGACATATTCCACGAAGGGGAAACAGCGAGTCTTGGATTTTTCCAAATTGAGGACTTCGATTTGGGGTTTCATCTTATACCTGGGAAAAAGATATATTCCCGACGGGAAACGACGCCATGGACTTGTAAGCTGTTGGGGAAGCAGATTTAGCCATTGTCTGGGTTATCGGGTGGGTGGTACCGTGATAAAAATAAGCAACCTTAACGTTTGGTTGCTGTAAACGAACTGAAATTGACTGGCACTTTCGTCAGTGTATTGAGTGACGTCATTAAGTGGCTGTCACATGACCAATGTGACGTATCTCCATCAAAGGGAGATACGCGCCTTCTGTATCCTTACAATTTAAATCGATCCCTGACTCCATAAAGAATCATCTGTACTTTGTTTTTATTTACAAATGTCAAGTTTGAAACTTTACTTACATCATTGATAACTGAGTACTACTGATGTTGTCCTTTTTCCCAGTTTGTAATTGTATGCGATTATAAGTGACGTAATCAATGTAATAGTATGCAATTATAAGTGAGGTAAGGAATGTAATAGTATGCATTTATAAGTGACGTAAGGAATGTAATAGTATGCATTTATAAGTGACGTAAGGAATGTAATAGTATGCAATTATAAGTGACGTAAGCAATGTAATAGTATGCAATTATAAGTGACGTAAGCATAGTTTCAGAATTTATATTTGTAAATTAAAACAAAGATCAGAGTGAGCCTTAAACTGAAAGATTTCAGCAGTATTTTAATCTGATAAAGTTTGGGTTTACGTCACGGCAAGACATATTCTGGCGAGAAAACCTATCTAGGACGACATAATGAAACGAATTTTCTAGCAGCTGACTCAGCAAATGATTCGATATAGTCATTCCATTTTATGTCAATGGAAAACATGAGACCGACAAGGACCAGTGAATTGCTCTCCTAGAGGTTAGCATCGGCCATAGAAGGAAAAGAGGTTCTTTAAGATGTTTCATAGAGAGAAGTTTCGTTTTGCAAGCATTAAAATTAACAAACCAATTCTTGCTCCATTTATCAATAAATTTAATGTTATTTCCGAGATCAGTTACTAATTTAAGTACAAATCAAACACCTCTCTCACCAAAACGATTGCTATTCAATAATAAGGGGATTCTGCTTAATTTTTAATTTTAATTAATTGTAATTACTTTAAGATGTACAAATTACATTTTTCGCCTGGTTTCATTTCACAAATTTAAATTTCAGTTCAGTATTTATTCAGTTCTATTCTCACCATAAAAGTTAAATAAAATCCGGAATAATTATCGGAGTCTATTTAAGAGTAATTCAGAATTTGTAGCTCTCATTATTTATATGATGTGTAGTAATACATTGAACATACTTTTAAGCTCCCTCCTGTACTTAGATTATTTCATATTCAACTCGAAATATAAGGCTCGTCAAATAAAGAATAAATCAATCAAGCAAATTTAACGAAACGAATTGTACCGACACTATCACAAATGTAATTGAAAAAATTATCTAAACTATGTATTATAACAACTTCTGAGGCAATAAGATACTTAATTAATACAAAAAAATAATAATAGCCTAAAACTTGAATCAGGAATTTACTCTATAATCTGTGATGATTGTCACAAGAAATACAAAGGAGAAACCTCGGAACATTTAAATAAAAGATTATATGAACAAAGAAAAGATCTTTTACAAAACAACAAATTCGATGCATAAGTCGCTCGCCGTAATAAGTTTGATCATAATTTCGATTTAAATAAGTCGAATTTAATTTTTAAAAAAAGTACATAATTGTAATCGACGCTCACATTTTTATATCTCCCCCCTCTTAAACATACACTACAGTTCAAAATTTTGAAGCGACCCCCAGATTTGAAATGGAATAAACTTGACAGAAGAGTAAAAAAAAACAAAAAATGAGCAACAACTTTTAGAAACATTGAAAAAAGAATAGAAACAATTATCAAACTTATGCTTTGAGAAACCATTGCAACAAATGCCAAATATATGTGCTGCGGTAATCAAAGCGAGAAGAGGATATTTTGACGAGAGCAAAATGTAATCAAAAAATGCACCTTTTCTCACATTATTTACATTATTCGGACTATTGTCCTCATCTTTGTCGCCATATTTATTACAACGTTTCGGCCGGAGCGTACAACGGCCGAAACGTTGTAATAAATATAGCGACAAAGATGAGGACAATAGTCCGAATAATGTAAATAATGTACATAATACCTCATCTCAGAAATATAGACAGACTCTGCATCTTTTCTGTTTGTCATAAAATTGTAATTAAAAAACCATATCTCCTTTTTTAACCATTTATAATTTTTTTCTTATTTAAAGTATAAAACAACTACTTTTGTGGCCAATTTAAAAATTACCAGGGGTGGCTTTGTAGGAATATTATTATTATTATTATTATTATTATTATTATAGATAAATAAAAATAAAATATAAAATAATAATGAAAATTATAAATAAAATAAAATAAAGCAATAACATGAAAACATTGTATAAAATAAATAAAAAATTAAAAATAATAAAAATACTCCCAGCATGCAACAAAAACTGTTCAAGTCGGAAATACGAATATCCCACCAAAAGGCTTTAAATTCAATCTCTTCACCGCAAACCTTGGACGGGCAACACGTGTGTAACTTCTCTCTGTGATATAGCTTGTAATACTACGGAGTAATTCTCCCTTTTATCAAATGTACCATAAGACAATTAAAAAATACACACACAAAATACACACAAGAATATAATTAATTTGCATGAAATTAACATACAATTTACCATGATTTTGCTTCCTCATGTTACCACAATAACGAGATATCTCATTCTCGCAAATAAATGACGTTAAGAATATGACTAATGAATTTATAAAGTCACATTGTGTGATATGTAATAGATTTGATAGATACATTTTTATGCACAGATATGTGGGAATGTTTGTATATGTGATTGTATTTGATATACTCAGATCGTCTATGGATAACAATGACAGTTCCTTATTTCGAAAAATGACAAGATTGTTTTTACAATAATTTCTATGTTAATAACATCTTCTTAAAGTGAAATCTATAAGTTTCTGACAAGCTCACCTTTCCATTTCCGAAGCAAGGGTTACTGTAATTACCCGGACACGGTGCGCATTCGGGACCATAGAATCCTGGACAACACTGGGCATCCTGATGATTAAAAATAACAATTTCAAAACCATTAAAAAGGCGAAAAAAAACCTATATGAAAATAAGCAATTGTACAATTCTAAATTGTTTATTAGAACGAAGTATTTTGAGAAGCAATAAGAAAGCAGGAGAAGAAAGTACTAATCATCAATAGTAAAAAGTGAGAATGTATAGTCGTCAGGAAGAGAGACATCAAAAGATATGAGCTACGAACTGAAGACGTCAAAAACAAGTAGAGTAGAGTAGAGGAATTTAAAAAATCTGCGAAGTGTTTTAACAGATAACGAAAAATGTGACACAAAAATTGGAAGACGTATTGGAATAGCGAAAGATGCCTTCCAAAAGCCAAGCAAAGTATTAAGTGGGAATATTTCGTTAGAAACGAATAAAAGAGTATTGAAATACTATGTAATATCAATACTCCGATACGGCAGTGAATGTTGAACAATTTCCTCACAGATGAAAAGAAGAATAGAAGCAACAGTGATATACTTTCACAGAAGGATGCTGTGAATATCTTTGCACGTTTCAATGCAAATAGGGCATAAAAATCACTTGGAGAATTTGACACTCGCAGCATATATTGACGGCAAGATGGGTGTAATGAAACAGTTTGTAATTTTCTTAATGAGCGGGGACTAGGAGGTATAGTCAAGGGATAAACATTGCTTAGAGCAAGCAAAAGATAGGAAATTATGGAGAGTCATGGTCGCACGTACCCTGAAGCTGTGAGAAATCCTTTTTTTTTACGTTTTTTTTTTATCGCATTCATTACAGTTGGAAACATTCTGACAATGAGACCCGGGTTCGAATCTCACCATAGTCGAGTTGTCAGGAAGGAGACTTCCTGATGTAATCGGATTGGAGGAGTCCATCCCAGTATGCGGCACCTTTGGAAAGTACCTGAAAACCATACCACGAGTTGACCCAAGTCTTGTCAGTGAAATTGCGTAGACGGAACTCTTGGCTTCCGTCGATAGCTGTGCTAGCATTAAGCCACAAGTCATCATGGCCGAGGGCTTGAGTATGCTGGCCTTGTTAAAATTGTTGATCACGCTAGATATCACGTTCTTTTCAAGAAAATGTAATTAAGGTCTGCTCAGTATAGTTGCAGTATAAACCATAGGTGGGCTCTATGGGTGTTGAATAAACACGAATGCGCCTGAGCAAGCGTCTGCAATAGGGATTGGCTAGCCGCCCTAGTAAGACAGGTATCCTCGAATACGAGTGGCCAACTATACATACACAACTGGAACGATCAACGTAAAGCTCACTAGACATATGCTGATTCTGAATAAAACCGACTTCTTTGACAATCAAAGATCAAAAAGTCAGCTTTTTTTAACAAGTGTATATAAAATATATTAAAGACAATTCTGCTACTGATGTCAGTTTTCGCCTTCTTGCCATGATTCCTTGGAAAAGATGTTGGATTGGTTCCCCGTTGCCTTTTCCATAGGTTACTTTTCTTTATTTTCTGTGAATTGCCATGGCTTTGGAAAAGGTAGTGGAGTAGATACCTGTTGTCTTTTCTACGGTTTTGGATTCAGAGTTAGGGGAGCCCAAACTAACTTTCTATTCAACCTATAGTTGGAGTTCCAAGTAATGGATTCATGTCATTCTCAAGAGGATTAATACCAAAATGAATGCAACGGACTCTCAGGTATAGGTTAAGCAATGCTGTGAGTTAAATAGTAAATCAAGACACGCTCTTTACATTTAGTTGGCAACCATTCTAAAAGGACTACAAATTCAAAACCGATTGGCCATGGGCCTGACAATTCAGTCCCATAAGGAACCTACCTGCTAAATACTGTAAAAGATAGGAAGTTATGGAGAGTCACGATCGCACGCGTCCTGAAGAAGTAACGCTTAGCGTTCCGAGAGCTGTGGACACATGCTCCTCAGTGTAGTCTACGAGTAAGCGCAACAGACTAGGCCGAAATTTGAACTCAGATCCTCGATTCCACTTTGCATGCCATTAGTCATCACGCTACAAGCACGTCCTTTGACCTCGAATGTCTTCTTCATCTGTGAGGAGATTGTCCAGCATTCGCTGCCATATAGGAGGACTGATATTAGATAACAGTTGAGTGCTCTTCTCTTTGTTTCAAACGAAATTTTCCTGTTTCTTAATACTTTGCTTACCTTTTGGAAGTTATTTTGGCTATTCCAATGCGTCTTCGGATTTCAGTGCCACGTTTTCCTTTTTTTTATTAAAACATTTCCTAGATATTTAAATTTTTGTACTTGCTTGACTTTAGTGTCTCCAAATCGTAGTTCGTATCTTAGACTGTCGCTTTCGGTGACAACCATAAATTCTGTCTTCTTACAATTGATGATTCGTCCTTTCTTCTCGCTTTCATTTACAATCCTTTATAGGAATGCTTGTAGCCTACTTTCTGTATCTACTATCAACACTCAGTACTTTTCATGAAATAATAAATAATAGGATACTAGTTTCGTTATTAACAATCTAAATAATTTGGTTCATAATAAAAAAAATATTATTTTTATGTCTAACCAAGATATGGAAGCTCATATGATCACATACGTTCCTTAAGTGACAGTACAAATTATCCACTCCCCACCCCCAGGAAAATCTCAAATTCATTTAATTTCTTAGTTCAAAATTAGTTTTTAAGATAACAGAGATATGGAAAATGTCATAGAATAATTATTTTTTTAATCAATTCACTCCAAGAAAGGCGATAATGCCGGAGATGACAGAGAACGAGAAGACGTTAGAAGGAACCGGAAATCCAATCCTAAACAGAGAACAAAATATAAATCTCTACGCTTCAAATGTGAATCGAATGATAGGCGAACCTATCTACTCCTATTGAGAAGAGAATAAAGTAATTAGTATATTAAATCACAGAGTTCAAGCGAGGACGCTTGAAGTATAGAGTTAAAGTAGATTTTAGAAAGAAACCGGAAACCCAATCCTAAAACAGGAAAAAAGAGATAAACCTCTACTCCTGTTTCAAAAACTTGGGATGTGCTTTGAACTATTTCAAGAAAAAAGCAGATATGAGTTTCATAAAAACGATCTGCTTTTTTTGTTTTTGCGACTGATGGCGGTTACATCAAATAAACGTGTAATCCAACCATTACTGCATCTGTGTAACAAGTTTTGTATCAATAAATTTAGTTGTTTGTAAGATGTGGTTATTCTTCTTACGGTCGTCAATGTGTCGTCAAACACCTTACGCACCCTCTACATACATACCTTTTATATAATTCAGTTTGGATTTGACAATTCAACAACCTTCTTCGGGAGAATTTTTGAGGTCTATTTATGAAATAGCTGAGAGTAAAAAGGCTTTAGTGAATGCTTGAAGTCTACTTATGAGGTAGCAGAAAGTAAAATGGCACAGGTAACCAAGCACAAAAGAAATAGAAATAATGTCATTTCTCTCAGGAAAATCTCAAAATCATTTATTTAGAAATGTTTTTAAGACAATAGAAATTTGGAGAGCATGTTGCTTCGAATTACTGTAGGAATGACTGTAACAGCATCCACCCTCCTCAGATTTATATACACATTTTACAGACGCATGCTGGGATTTCTTCCTAGCCAATAAAATTTGCCACTACTTGGTTACATACGCCATATTTTTGTTCTTTGCTGTCTTGAAGTCAGAACTGTATGACCACTTGTCTTAATCCTCTTTTGTGTGTTAACACCATTCTTACTTTGTGAACTTTTTGCTTCATTACTATTGCTTTGCATACTTTTGTCTTGCATATATATATATATATATAATTAATTATTAATTTAAAAATATGATTCCATCGCTACATAAGAGTTCTCATGTTACAAAACAAGAGCCGAAAACTTCAATATAATTATTTGAACAAAATTGAATTAAAGTACCAAGCTCTGTTCCATCTTCAAGTGAAATTTTTGGAATAACTAATTCTTGAAATTTACGCGTTAAAATTACTATGGTAACGGTAATTATTTTAAAAAAAGGGGGGCATAAGGGTTAAAATTTGTATCAATATCTCCGTTACATTCAAAGAGGTCAAGTCAGGGTAAGGTTGGGGTGTCTAAATTCAAAGCGGAAGATGACATCGTCTAGTCTGGTTAAGTGTCTATGGAGATTTATTTTTTTTTTTTATTTTATTTTCTTTCCTGAAAGGGTTTTGTGTTTTTGTTTTTTGTTTTGTTTCGCTTGAAGATGGAACAGAGCTTGGTACTTTAATTCAATTTAATTCAAATAATTATATTGAAGTTTTCGGCTCTTGTTTTGAAACATGAAAACTCTTATATAGCGAAGAAATCATATTTTTAAATAAATAATTATATTTAGGCTCTATTTTTGTATCGTGCACTGTTTTTTAAAAATAATAACAAAAATACTAAAGAACTTTGGATTATTTACCTAACGAGTTCTTTCCTATTTTCTATATATTTTCACACACACATACACACACACGCACGCACACACACACACACACACACACACACACACACACACACATATATATATATATATATATATATATATATATTGTTTACTTATTAATTTTTGCCCTGTTATTTTCTTTTGTTTATTGGAAACTGTCAATTACATTTAACCATAACTAGTTACACTACTTTTTAAGAAGTAGGTATTTTTAACAATAAAAAACCTTTTCAGAAAAAAAAAACATGGAAAAAGTCACATTGTCATAGAATCAGTATTCATATCTCTATTGAACAATTTCAAAGCAAAGGATAAATAGTAACATTTAAAAAGTAGGCTTGTAAAGAGAGTCTCATAAAATCAATTTATTTTTTCCAGATCCAAACTCCTGATAGAACCTCATAAATTTACTCTTTATGGCTGATCTTTGTATTTATTTATATGGGCTGTGCACAAACCAATATAAAACTCTTTCTGCAGAGTTTGATGGCTGATTCACTAGGGAAGAAACACATTAAACGCGTCACATTAGAATCCACAAGCAAGTTGCCTTGTGGAATCAAACTTTTTGAGAAGATGTTTTTGACAGGTAGCCAAAAAATTCATCTGACTTCAATCTAGCTGAGAAAGGTAAAAATAACCCATTAAACTTGCATCACAAATAACAGGATTCTTGACAGAAGGTAATTAATATCTCATCAAGAATGAAAAGCTAAACAACAAATCTTCTTAAATCTTCTTCATTAATTTACATTATTCGGACTGTTGTCCTCATCTTTATTGTCACATTCACGACGTTTCGGACGTTGTACGCTCAGGCCTTCTTCAGGTGATTGGAATTTTAATTCCTTCATTAAATTGGATTTTATGAAGACTTGGTGAGAAAATCACTTTCGTAAAATCGACTTATTTTCTGGTCCAAAACAAATGAGCATGTTACTCCTGATAGAACCTCACAAGTTTGCTCTTCTTGTACAAAAACAATATATAACTATTTCTGTTGGTTTTAATGGTTGGCTCACGAGGGAAGAAATGGATCAAGTGTGTCACATTCGGATAAAGATAGCTTAAAAACAAACAGGTTTATACAGAATCTGATACGGGTATACATAACAGCCAAATGTGCGTGATATGGTTACAGGTTTTGATAAAAGCAATAATCTTTTTTTCTTTTCAAGACAACAAAATAAAGTTAACCCAACATTAATTCCAATTCGACACAAATTATGAACTGTGACATTTTGTGGCGTTATACTTTTGTTCGTAATCAACTTTGTAATGTAAGAAAGCTTATAAAATTAGGAAAGGATATAGAAATAATAATAATAATAATAATAATAATAATAAGAAGAAGAAGAAGAAGAAGAAGAAGATGAAGAAGCTTTTCATTTCGCTGAAGCAGACCTTAAACACATGAGAATGCCATGGCCTCTTCAGACCTCTCTCTCTCTCTCCCTTTGTTTATTTGTTTGTTTGTTTTTTTGTTTTTGTTTTTCCTTTTCTCGCTAAAACCAAACAGCATCTCTGGTATATCTTTCCCGTTTTTCCTTGTGATCAAAACGGTATAGTCATTTATTTATGAGGAATTGGCAGGGCATAACGTACGCGTTAAATAAGGAATTAAGGAAAGATCAGAATTGTATTATTATTATTTTATCATCATCATCATCATCATCATCATCATCATCATTGTCATTATTATTATTATTATTATTACTACCATGAAATACTTACCGTGTAGGTTCTTTGACAAAGTCTCCGGCAACCTTGTTCTTTTATATATCCGTCAACATTCTTTAAGTCATAGGTGCAGCTAGTATATACCGTTTTCTGAAAGAAAGAAAAAATGGGAATATCGAGAAACTTAAAAAGATTTTTGTAAAACTTTTTGTTTCAAAAACTTACCTCGCACAGTGGTAAGGAAATATGCAGATATCTGACTGCTTTCCATGAATGAGATTAGATCTAAAATGAAGTACTGCTCCCATATCTGACCTGAAGCGAAGCTAAATCCAAACAGCATCTCCAAACAGCATCTCTGATAGGGCTTCACTTTACCGTTCAAATTCGTTTACGCGGTTTTATGGGAGAGTGTTGACCACTTCTTCAAACTGCAAATTCTTTCTTGCGGATGAAAAGTCGCAAGTCTACCACTGCTTTATCGTTATTTACATAGCAAATGTTCAGATTAGCGCTTTATTCTTTAGCTCCGCAAATTCAGATATTTGCAGCTAGGACACGCAATTCGCAACCATCCAAATTTCCAGCGTATTCCAACTGAATAGACAGATTTTCCTCAAGAACAGCTACTTTGCGGAAGTCTCCCACGTAGATGCTTACCTGAATACTATAATCTTAACCTATTGAAAATAATGGCCAATCGTTATCTATCCTCCTTATCCTCATAAAGTTTATTTCCTACCACCTCCTCTTTCATTCATATCGCGCAACTCATTCACCATAACTATTTTAACAGTAAACCCTCTACACTAAAATCTTAACTTCTTCAAGTCCAGGGTCAGTCGTTATCCAGCGTATTCCAACTGCATAGACAGATTTTCCTCAAGAACAGCTACTTTGCGGAAGTCTCCCACGTAGATGCTTACCTGAATACTATAATCTTAACCTATTGAAAATAATGGCCAATCGTTATCTATCCTCCTTATCCTCATAAAGTTTATTTCCTACCACCTCCTCTTTCATTCATATCGCGCAACTCATTCACCATAACTATTTTAACAGTAAACCCTCTACACTAAAATCTTAACTTCTTCAAGTCCAGGGTCAGTCGTTATCTATCCGCCTTATCCTCATAATGTTTATTTCCTACCACCTCCTCTTTCATTTATATTTTACACATCTTATTCATTAACTTTAGTTTAGAATAATCCTAATTCAGCCAAGAAAGATTTTAAATCATCAAAAGTTAGTGAACTTCAACATAATTGATGACAATCCTCATCAGTCGATCGTGAACATACGATACAATTAATGATAAAGCTCATTTTAACCAAAGAATCACAATTATCAAACATCACCAATAATTCCAATTTCATTCAGATTATTAAACTCCGTCTTTACTAAAACTTTTGGTTGATGTATTCTATATCCTTTTTCATGCGTATAATCATTAAGAAAAGAAAAAGATATCTTTTTACAGAACAAAATGGTGGCAGAAAAACGATCGTTTATCTACTGGCTCAATTAATACATACGATAAAATTCATTCAACTTCATGGGATACACAAATGATTCTAGTTTATATACTGGGATGTTACTCAAATCTTTCCCTACTAAGAAAAGAAAAGAAAACTACACCGCAATGAAGACTGTGTAGCCGCAGGGAGCATACCTCCAATCGATTGTGAACTGGGGCATGATTTGGCTGGTCAACTTCAACGCTTCGAAGACAAAACTGCTCTCTATTAATCACCACAGAGAGCCTTCCCTTCCCTCCATTATAATGTCTGACGCTCAACTTCCCGAGAGCAACTCTCTGCGGCTTCTCGGTCTCACGTTGACTGCTGACCTGAGATGGAATAAATACATCGAGTCAATTGCCTTGTCCACTGCGAGGAAAGTTGGCTCCCTGAGCCGTGCTAGGAAGTTTTTCTCCCCTGAGTCGATCCTCCAGATATACAAATCCACAATTCGCCCTTGCATGGAGTATTGCTGCCATATATGGTCTGGCGCCCCTTCTGTTTGCCTCGGGGTTCTTGATAGGCTCCAGAAGCGGATATGCAATATGGTTGGCCCTGCCCTGGCGTCTCGTCTACAGTCACTTTCTCACAGACGCACCATCGCCTCCCTCTGTCTGTTCTACAAATACTTTCATGGCAATTGCTCCGAGGAGCTGCATTCGCTGGTTCCCAGACTTCATGAGTTCAAGCGCCCTACGAGGCTGGCATCCCGCTCTCACCCCTTCACTGTCGAAACTCATAAATGTAGCCGTCTCTTCTACTCTAATAGCTTCATGTCTCGCACCTCTCGCCTGTGGAACTCTCTTCCCTTCTCCTGTTTCCCTGAGAGTTATAATCTCCAGCTATTCAAGTGTAATGTCAATCGACATCTCCAGTTGCCTTAATCTATCTACTACCCTCATCCTTTCTTCTACCACTCCTATTTGATCTTCCTATTTTCTGTAACCCCTTGCGTCCTAGTGGCTCCCCGCCTTGCTTGGGGTGAAATGCTTAAAAAAAAAAAAAATATATATATATATAAGAGGTGCTGATGAACATCTCCAAATGATTTGCAGGCAGTACATAACCAAGATGGTTTTCAGTAAAAAAAAAAACTACTCATTATCACAAGGTCCCAATAAGAGATGGTTTCGGGTTTGAGAAATATGACAAATGTATTATTCATTTAAACATTCTTTACAAAATCCAAAGAAACTGTAATGTTATCGGTCCTGATCTGCCATCTCGGCTTCAGTTACTTTCCAAGTATGAATTTAAGCGCAGTACTAGATTGGGTGCTAAGACTCATTAGTTTACAGTTGAAATGGCTAGATGTAATCGTAAGTTCTATTCTAACAGTTTTTTCTATTGCACTTCTCGCTTGTGCAAACCTCTTACGGCTTCTCGCTATGCAGTCTACTTTGATTTTCAAAAATTTAAATGCGATGTTAATCGTTATCTTCTGTCTCCTCTGTTAATATTAACATCGAGTGGCCTCTGGGCATTGTACAGAGTGAAAATTACTTTAAAAATCAAGCAAAAAAAATTTCCCCTGTATAAATCAAAATGATACAGTTCCATAATTCGTGTTTGATAGTATTGTCTCTAGAATGAATCGATCCAGTATATTAGTGACCTTTTTCTTACAATCATCTTGGTCGTGGGTAAAAAAAAAATGTCCCTTTTCGTTATTTGCAGTTTATATGGAGATGCGTGTATCAGAAAGGTTAACAGCACAGAAAATGAAATCGACGAGTCAATTTCAAATCCTGACACTGACAGCTCTTGAAGATACATATTCTCTGAGAAGGCATGAATCTATCTCTTCGTAACGATACCAACTGTGGATAAAATACAAAAAAATACTGCATTGGTTGACAACCAGTTTAAAAGAAAGAAAATTAAGGCGATTAGTAAAAAAATGTGGCTTCTTTCCGACAGCACCAAGTTGATGCCAATTCGTATCGATTCCTGAAATATATAGCTGATAGGATTCTGGTGAAGTTTTTACAAACCTGGAAAGTGGATTAATTAAGAATATTCTCAGTATCTTTCTGTAGAACTACATTTCTGTTGCAACAAGCTTCCACTTCATCTAAGAAACTTGTCCAGCATTCTCTGACATATCGGAGGATTTATACTGCATAGCGTTTCTCTTCTTTGTTTCTAACGAAATTTTCCCGTTTCTTAATACTTTGTTTAGCTTTTATTATTCAAATAGAAGTTCTGTGCCGCATTGTTCGTTGTAACATTTCCCAAGAATTAAGTTCCTCTACTTGCTCGATTTTGACTCCTTCATTTCGTAGCTCGCATCTTTGACTGTCCGTCTTGCTAACGATCACACATTCTGTTTTCTTTGTCATTTTACACTTGATAGTTAGTCCTTTCTTTCCGTTTTCCTTTACTAAATATTATCTAGAAGTTCCTGCAGTATTCTCATGCGTCTGCCATCAACAAATGAATTCTGCGTATCTTATATTGTTATTATGTTAAGATAGTGTCCGCCAATTATGAATCCTGCCAGGACTCCTAGTTCTCTTGGGATCACCACGCTATAGAGGTAAAAAATATATCCGGTGAGAGGGTACATCATTGTCTTACGCCTCTTTATATTTTTAAGTACTTGTTCAATTCATTTTCTATCCGTATGCACTGACCTGGGTTATTCTAAGATATTTCCCAAATAAGCCAAAAGATTTTTCTAGTGACTCTCTAATATGATGCATTGTGTTCCGATCTTTTTATCCAATCCTATTAACAATCCTGTGGTATCAGTGATGCCGTTTGAATGATTTCGTATCTGACTTACACAAAATATGCCAAACAAATGGAAAGTTGCAAAGTTAATAATATCCACGTAATAATTTATTTTTCAAAGAGACATGATGTACTTAATTACCGTGGGTTTGTCAGTTTCCAGTTTGCAAGGAAGGCTGCTGGTACAGGGGGCGCATTCACCCTAGAAAGAGCAAAAAGAAAAAAAAAGTTCGAGTTTCAGTGCATAAATAAGTTAGCATATATAGAGGGTATCCCCCAAAATTTTACAGGATTTTATAGTCAATTTTACCAATTCTCGTTCAAATGATCTGAAATGTTAACAAAACGTGTAAAAACTAAGTTGACTGTGCGGACTTATCTCAGTGAGAATCTACTCGGAAGATGGATCGGGTGAGCCAGTGATAACGACAATGTGCAGTTGCAATGGCCACCACATTCACCTGACTTGACATCTTATGATTTTTTTCTATGGGTCTATGTGAAAGGACAGATATATATCCAGCTCTTTCTACAAGCCGAGAGGAAGCGCTGGAGAATGTTACGCAAGACATGCTACAGCGTGTTTAGCAGGAGCTGGACTGCCGACTTCACATGTGTCGTGTCACAGGTGGTACGCATATTGAACATTTGTGAAGCTTTGTGAAACAGGTTATAAAATCTACATCTCTTTGAATATCGTGCTCGAATATGGGTAATTCAATTTTTTATTGCTCACGAAACTTATTTAATTTTGTTTGCCTGGTGGATGTAGTTACTCAGATATTCACATTCTAAATGATGTCAATTATTTTATTTTTTGGTGTGGGGGGGGGCACCCTGTACAATAGTTCTATTCTGACAGAAAGCTTTTCATTAATTTTTTAACCCCTGACAATCCATTTAATCTTTGTTTTAATAAAGCAAATTCAATTACAATGCATTTTTAAAATAAAACATTAGCAACATTGCATTATATATATAATAACCCTACTCTGTGAGTAACACTGGCATTAATTTCTGACAAGCGTTTTCTCTTTACTTATCAATCCATTTCATAGTAAAATAGCAATACTCGCATCTATCAGGCCAATGGAGAGCGGCAATGGATAAAAAGAATGTGGAATAAGGTGTTGTGTTGAGTGCCGTCTCTAGATTCTAGTGGCCTATCCTCAGTAGTAATTCCTCAGTAGGGACCCCAATGCTGCATCAACAGATTCAGTGACTGGCAACTTTTTGTTTCTTTTTACTCGTTTTATTTGCGAAGTGGTGGAGGACATAGTAGGAATCGGTTCTTGGAGAGAGAGAGAAGCAGATAAAGAAAATGGATATTAACAGGTCAGTCAGTTACCCATCTTCTTCGCATGGTGGCTTGTCTCTCCTGAAAACACGGACACACAAAAGATTCTGGTATAAGAAGGTTCCAGAGCTCTTCACTTCACTACTGCCGAATTTTGAGGTTTCGCGCGTTTTTGGTTTTATATCAAAACTTAAACAAAGACAATCGATCACTATCAGAATTCCACACTTTCTGGCTTCAAACCACACCCACTCAGTTCGGGTCTTCAAAGTTCTAACCAGTATAGTAGCGTCTGGAATTAAATAGGATACAATTATGATTTTGTCGATTGTGCTTAACATAAATATCCTACAAAAATTCCTGTTCTTTTATTGTTCTGTCTCCTTAATAATGTTTTATTTTTCTCATATTCTCTCACACACAGTAACCTCTTCCATCTTAATGGATTTATTACCTTGCTTTTTAAAATTTTCCAAAAATATGTAATCAGGATAACATTAGATATATTTACTAAGTTCTTGTTAGATACAAGAATAAATGAGTGAAAATATGAAATAAGAGAACTTAATATGCAACTATGCATGTGAAAGGACAGATATATATCCAGCTCTTTCTACAAGCCGAGAGGAAGCGCTGGAGAATGTTACGCAAGACATGCTACAGCGTGTTTAGCAGGAGCTGGACTGCCGACTTCACATGTGTCGTGTCACAGGTGGTACGCATATTGAACATTTGTGAAGCTTTGTGAAACAGGTTATAAAATCTACATCTCTTTGAATATCGTGCTCGAATATGGGTAATTCAATTTTTTATTGCTCATGAAACTTATTTTAAATGATGTCAATTATTTTATTTTTTGGTGGGGGGGCACCCTGTACAATAGTTCTATTCTATACCAGGCAAGCTTCACTCGCCACTTTTTATAAAATTCAAGTAATTAACATAGTAAAATAAGCAGAAAGGTGCATGCAATGACCTGATTATTCTCTTACCTGTACCATGGCATGTCTGATGTGATCACATTTTCCGGGTAATATATCATTGATATCTCCGGGAAAAAGGACACCACTGACGAGGTGGACAATTGCATTCTTCGTGGGAATATCGGATTGTGTCAAAAAAGCGTTGCTGCCGAAAAATATTTGTCCCTGAAAAAAAAAATCGGACAAAAATAAAAGTTTGAAAACATAAATAATGAAAGCATAAAAAGAACATTACGAAGATAGATAGATAGATAGATAGATAGATAGATAGATAGATAGATAGATAATTAATTGCTAGTTAAAAATTGAGATAGATCTTAACAGACTGAGATAGATAAATAGGAAAAGATAAAGACAATGGAACAGACTGAGAAAAATGGAGATAAGTGGATAGATATAGAGAAAAGGGTTTAGGTAACATAGATAACAAAGAAACTGAGATAGATAGATAGATAGATAGATAGATAGTTAGATAGATAGATAGATAATGTTAGCAGACTGATATAGATAGAGAAAGATAGAGAAAACTGTTTAAGAAACTGAGTGAGATAGACAATTGTTGTATCTCGTGTTTTCGAGATAACAGAAATAAATAAATAAGGAAGACAAACTCGTAGGTAAGGAGATTTACTTGACACCCCCACCCCACTGCAAAAAGTCAGGTTGTGACACAACCAAGCTGTTCAGAACTGGTCTAAGCTAGTCATATGGTCTTGGCTTGTCATAGCCGGTTCAAGTTAGTCGTAGCCTTGATACCACCAGCACAGATACGGATCCTTGTGCCAGATAAGATTTACTTGACCTCCACTGAGTCAGGTTGTGACACCTGTTAGTTTTTAACGTGGGGACCGAAGTGTTTTCACTCGGGCCGCTGGTCCAAGATCGTCTTAGCTGGTCATAACTTGTCCAAGCTGGTCAGAGCTGGTCTAAGCTAGTTATGACTGGTCTTGGCTTGTCATAGCCGGTCCAAGATAGTCGTAGCCGTCATATCACCAGCACAGGAACAGATCCCTGGGCCAGGTAAGTATCAGAATGTGTAATCCAAGAAAAAAAAACAGAGAGAGAGAGAGAGAGAGAGAGAGAGAGAGAGAGAGATTTACACGGACTTGTAGGTAAGTAATGAAATAGAAGGCTTACTACACGAAGGTACACTTAGCAATTGACCTAATTCTAGCTCACCTCAACTTCGCTTATTTATATAAACGGGCGATTCCATTCGCTTATATACTACATGACAATAACGAACAAACTGAGATAGATAGATAGATAGATAGATAGATAGATAGATAGATAGATAGATAGATAGATAGATAGATAGATAGGAAGGAAGGAAGGAAGGAAGGACAGAAACAAAGAAGGAACAACAAAAGAAAAAGAGGGATGATCTACTTTAAATTGACATTATTAGCCCTTCTTCACAAGTATGAGTTATTCGAAAAACTTCGTACGGGCCAGCAGACTTTCCTATCTTCATTTTATTCAAGGTATGTCGGACTTCCGTCTTTGGTAATCGTGGGACCCGACAATTACGATAAAGGTTAGATTTCGTTACTCTGTCTTTTATCATGCAACAGTTTCTTAATGTATTCATGCTAAAGATTCACGATATCTGCCGGGTCTGTTAGAATCTTGCCATTCGAGGCTAGCGTGTAACTGAGTAGAGGATTCGAATTTTTCTCTAACATTAATCCGAACATCTTAGAACTATAATCTTTGAGATTTTCATCTTCACGACATTTCCTTTCAAGCTAGTATTCTTTCACCCCAGCACATTTCTTTTTTGATTTATTTGTTTAGGGTGTTGTATGGATCGTTATCCTTTTTCTTGGCTAACCTTTTCCTTTCATTTAATTGCTTATATCATCTAGTGTAAGGAGGCGTAATAGATAGCGGCTCGGATTGAGGAATCGGAGTGCCGAGTTCGAATTCCAGTTGAATCCATTACATTCACTTACATGCTAATACTCTTGGGAAAGTTATGAATCCTCTTCTTCTCCCCCAGCTATGGGTAAATAGCAGGACAGACCGGGTTTTATAACCTTGGATGGCAACTGGTCTAGGAGAAGGAAAATCTCTGAATTCAAAACCATCCTGGACAGGGTTGAATTCCATCAGGCTATCTTGCCCAAGAAACGCCACTTCTACTGTGGTTACAGTACATATGGTGCACACGGGATAAAAAAAAAATCATCCAGTGGAATCGTCGTCTTGCCATTTGTTTTTGGAAACACAACTATACTGATGACAGTATAGCTCCCTTAAGATGATTTCCAATTCTTGTCTAGAGCTAGAGGTGATCTTTGACTTTTTGTTGAAAAAATGCGAGGTGTTTCTGGAGGGAATTTAGCTTTGATACTTGGTTTGTTGATCCTCTTAATGTTGTTTTATTGTGGCACTTTCTACGTCCGCACTACATTGCGGAAACGTTTAATGACCGTAATGAAATCAATTTGATTTCAGGCTCGATCATCAGGACTAATCCAGATGCATCTGCGCTGAAGATGTACACCAAACCATGTGTTCACGATAGACATGTTGTTTTCTGAGAACCTGTTAACAGGTCTTTCGCTCCTTTCATTTCTTTTGCCAAGCCCAAAAGGCCTAACAGTTTTCTGAGATCTTCCACAGCCAACTTTTGAGTTCATATCCCCCATGACTAAAACAATTTTATGTGACCCGCATTTCTTCATCATGAGGTCACTAGAATTCTTCTAAAACGCTGTATTTCGAGTCATAAGTCCCGAGAATCAATGAGATTCACTTTTAGAGTAGAATAGGAGACGGTGGTGTAATGGATAGCCGAGTTCGAATTCTAGTCGTATCCATTACACTCACTCGGGAAAGGTATAAATCCTATTCTTCTCCCCCCAGCTAGCACAGAAGGATATGGCAACCTACTTAAGGAAAAAATCTGCCTCGTCAGTCATGTATCGAAAGATCGCCTAAACGTGTATCACGCATGGTACATAACTGACTGAGTAGAACGCAATCGGATTTGGGCCAGAAAGCCATGACAGAATGCGAATATTACTTGTTGAGGATGACTCCTACTCCACGTTGAAGCTTATTGCCTCCAGAACAGATATATCTTTTGTTGTCCATTTTGAATTTGCCAGTATCTTTCCAACATACTTCGGAGAGGTCCAGGCAATCAATATTCAACCAATCCATTTCCTGAATCACTTTATCGAGTTTGCCTTGTTGATGATATGCGTTGTGATGGGCTCAGAATGAGAGCCGAGTTCGAAACCCAGACGAGTTTATTAGCTTCACTTGCGCACAAATACCCTTGGGAAAGGTATGAATCCATCTCTTCTACTCCCAGCTATGGCATGAATAGCAGGACAGACTGGGTTCTTTAGCCTTGGTTGGCAACTAGCCTACTGCAGAAAGAAAATGACAATTTACTGCGGGAAAAATATTCTGCCTCGTCAGTCATTTATCGAAAGATACATGATCGCCCAAAATTGTATCACATGTAGCACTTAACTGACTAACTAACTTATTGATGAAGTGTTCTGATATTCCATGTGGCAATTTTTGTTCGACATGCTTTGAAGAAAATAAAGACAAGAAAGTCTGCTGGTCCGGATGAAATAAAAACAGAAATGTGGGAAGCCTAGAAGAGGTAAGAGTTGAAAACCTTCGTGGTCTCATCTCAAAGATCTATGAAAGTGGATCAAATCCAAAGGAAGTGATGAAATCATTTTTTGCCGCCCTTCCAAATAAACCCCGGACATTCAGGTGTTCAGATTACCGAACTACGAGGGGAAAGTCAAAAATGATCTGCACTTTTGTCTAGGTTATTCTGAGCCCATGTTATGGCGAAAGTGCGAATAATTTTTGACTTACCCTCGTATAAGTCTCATGAATGACATCCTTAAAAAATACCAAACGTGCAATTTGGCTTCCTTCCCGACAGAAGGGAAGAGGAATGTCATATTTGTGCTTAGAATGATCAGTGAGCGTAACATCTGATACCAGCAGAACGTCTATATATACTTCATTGATTACAAGACAGCTTTCGACAGAGTAAGACACACAAACCTCTTTTAGATGTTGGAGACAATCCATACTGACAAACGTATACTCAACGATATCTACTATCAACAAGAAGCCGCTGTCAAACAGAATGACCGCCTTTCTAATTGGCAGAAGATAAAACGTTGCGCCCGCCAAAGTTGTCCAGCCTCTGCTGATCTTTTAATCTCTATGGTGAATTGATTGGCCGTGAACTGGAAGAGTGTCCTAAAGGAATTGCTATCAACGGCCGTGTTTTGAATAATACGACTATACAACCCAGAAGAATGTCTCCAGAATCTCCACGACCTAAGAGCAGTTAGCGTAAAACAGGGTTTAGAAATCAACCCAAATAAAACCACAAACAGTTCCTGATTCAAATGCCATTTTACTTGCGATAATCAGGAAATTGATCAAGTGGACAGCTTCATTTATCTAGGTTTCTTAGTAACAGCAGATGGTAGCTGTGAAAAAGAAATCCGCTGACCAATTTGCTTAGCAGAAGATGGAATCAATCGGTTTCGAAAAACTGATAAAGTCTTTCGCTAAATCTGAAACATCGACTCTTAAAAACGTGCTTGAGGTCAATTTTGCTATATGGTTCCGAGGCCAAAAACAAAACGGACACACCAAGTCGCAGAAATATGATACAAACGGCGAATGCTAAAGATTCAGTTCTTCAGCAAGTTCAACAAGAACGCATTCTGGTCTAAACCATTGAGTGCTGACAGAAAAGATTATTGGGCCACATAATTCAAAAACAAGAACTTGAATATCTTTGTCTGGAAGGATGTTTCCGTGATTCAAAGACCAGAGGAGGACAACGAACCATCTTTGCTCTTTCTCTTTAACTTAGACAATTCTGGAACACAGCATGGCACCGTGGAACTCTCCTATTTCTGACTATTCTCCTATGGGTGAATCATGCATGGCACTTCAGACGACGACGACGATTTGAAAAACACAGTCATTAAAGCCTCACAAAGCAAACAAAGATATAACAAAAGTTAAACTCTTACGTTATTGGCGATTTTCAAAGGGAAAGATGTTCCGGTGATCGACTTTATATGTTTCTTGTCAATAAGGTCAGTTATCGTCATCTGAAAAAAGGACAACATAATTATTTATCATATGAACAAGACTTGCATTTATCCTTACGATTATTATTGTTGCGATAGAAGTTAATAAAAATGGGTGAGACGAGTTTCAAAGATTTTATGGAAAAAAACATTGCAACTTAGCTTCTAAAGTCAGTTAAAAGAAAAACAGTCAGTCCTTCATATCCGAGGATTTTATATCTGTGGTTTCAGCCAAAAACGGATTAGAAGAAAAAGAGTTTTGAAAAAATCCAGAACATTTCTAAAGAGCGAAACTTGATTTTACATTCGCCAAGTACTACGCTGACTCCATACAAAAAAAGTAATTTCTAGGCAAATTCTCAATATTTAGCGCTTGTTGTTTGGGCATTTTTCGCCTTGTGTGTCCTTTGTTTGCCTCTTGTGATATGTGTACAACTTGTGTTTAATTTTGCTTTTATTCCGAAATTTGAATTAAAAATTAAAAAAACAAACTATTAGTATAATTGTAACAGCGCATTTGCCCTGTTTAAACGTTTACCCGCATGAAATTACAGGATGGTGATTTGGTGGGATTACTCATTGGATAATAATTATTAAAATTCTCAGGTAAGTTGAATAGTTGAAACGAAAATTAAAATAGAAAATGTTAAAAATTATGTTTTAAAGCAATAAAATGAATTTATGAACGGTTCCAAAGAGAATCGAACCCAGGATTAACTAGACAAGATTCAGTAAAATTGAGCAAAAACCAAGGTTTCCACTATTATCCAATTCCTGCTGATAAGAAGAAGTCATGATTAACGTTTTTTCCGAATTTCTTAGTTCTTGAGAAATTAAAGTTCAGTAGTTTGTTTACACTAAGCTATCTGCTCAGAATGTGTGTGTACTTATAAATTATGCTAGAAAAGTAATAAAAGCATCTGGATTGTGTTAATCCCCAACATAAGTGTGTTTATGTTGAGTGTACAAGAACACAATTATCTCCACAGAAAGATACTTAGGAAGATTCTAAAGTAAAAAAAAGAAGTACTATACAGTTTTTTAACAGATTTAGACGGTCAGATTAGATTAGATATCAATATTCCGACAGACAGCCGTAAAAACGGACAACAAGCAGTCGTGGCAGTCGGAGATCGGGAGAAGTAGGCTAGTAACGGCCCAGGATTGCTCGTTGCTAAAGTCGTTTTAACCCCAGTTTGTGGTTCAACTATTTGCCCATAGCTCGGACCCTAACAGGTGCTACCATCCCAAGTCGGGATGGACCTAGGATCAACAGCAATTAAGAGTTGGTTCCACGCTTCTCACCCGCCCAAACTCTTGCTGCCGGATGTAGTTTATCGTCATACCCAGAACGATGTGCTAATGTCCATGATTTAGAAAACAGACAGAAAAATTACTCGATCTCATTTATAAATTTCTTATCTTTATTATCAGTGAATTTTCAGGCATTATTCGGAAAGCTAGTAGAGTGTTTTCCTATTGCTTTCTACACGGTTTTGTATTCATAACTATCTTTCTCATAGTAGCCACGCAAGACTAAAGAGTCCAGTCAACCCGAATAGTTATCCCTTTGCTGAGAGGAGAAAAGACAGAGTACAGATTCCCAAAGGCATTTATTCGAAAGTGAACATAATAGACTAGTCGGGAATTTGAACTCGGTTCGTCGAGTTTATGTTAGATGCGGTAAGTCTGGAAAAAGCATACTGAGACGTTTATGACAGAATTTAACACGTAAAATTGTTTAAAATTTTAATAGTCTTAATACATTAGATAGGAGTAGACAGGCTTAACTATTTATACTTCTCTTCGGACTTTGAACATGGCTTATCCCTTGTTTCCTGTTTAGGATTGGGTTTCCGGTTCCTTCTAAACTCTACTTCAACTTTATACTTCTAACGTCTCCGCCTGAACTCTGAATTTTATTCACTAATTAAATCTTGACCTCTTCCAAGTCTGGAATTATCTGTTGATTTTTCTACGTAGCCCCCAAGAACTTCTTTTCTTGCCCTTTTATTACGCTAATACAACTCCACACAGTAAATCTCTACCTTGAGTAGCTCTTGGGCTTTTTGTTGAGTAAACATTAGTAAAAATAAAAGAAAAAAGGGAAATGTGCCAGTGGCGTAACAAGGGTTCTCACGCCCGGGGGCAAATACGATTTTGGTGTCCTACTTGTGTTATCCCTGAAATGTTTTACTATATGTTTTGTCTCTTATTACTCTTTGAATGGCAAAAAAAAAAAAAAAATGTACTAATTCAATTAGATACTAATTCAATTACACTTCAATACTAAGTAATCATTTTACAATTCATGCCTTAATGTTATTTTTCAATGTAATAGCTACAGTAAATTAGTAAAAATCTCTACTTTAAAGTTCTGGAATTCACTTGGAAAACCATTCATTTGTGGTAATGTCCATGGTTTAGGAAACAGGCAGGAAAATACTCGATGTTATAGATTTACTTAAGAAACAATTTTATTTATTATTTTACAAAACTGTTATTCTTGGCTACATTGCGCTGAATATGAATATGAACTTGTCTCACCTGACGAAAATTTTCACCCTTGCACATCTGCCCAAGGTGTTAGGGGCGGGGACTGCCCGCCTTACCCCCATCTTGCTAAGCCTCTAGTCGACACTATTTTTTCAAGTTGAGCCAATGGATGAACATTTAGAATATGCGTGACAGCTGTTGCTGTCATTTTTTTTTTAACTATGGAAAACATTTTAGTTTTATTTTATGTGTGGTCTTTGTGACACGAGACCAATGAGCAAATATCAAGGACTTTTAATAGCCATAGCTTGGTGACGTGTCTTATGTGATAAAGCAATTGTTATTTTCTCTTGCTATTTTCTCAAAATATCGACATTTTTAGTCTTTGTGTGAGTGTGATTTATCGAAATAGTCTGTGGAATTGTCAGGACTGTCAAAATGGAACTTAGAATTTGCTATGATTCTCAATTTATTACAGCAACAGACATCGAATAAAATATTCTGTTGATAATTGATGGTAGCTTTAAGTATTTTTACAACTAAAACCAACATTTTTACGTACACCTAAATCAAGTGACTAGATTATATGTTTTGCTTCCATTTGGCGCTATGATCTTCACCTGGCCAAGATACATTATGGAATATAGTAAAAGAGGAATCTATTTCTTTTTCCAACCTTTTTTTTTTACAGTAATGTTCACCTTGTACAAAGCCGGTGGCCACTAGTGGTAGAGGGTTACGTTAAGAGGAAGTTTATATAATGAGATAACGGTTAACCCTAGACTTGAACAGGTTAAGATTGTAGTGATGGAGAAAATATCTTCTTGGGAGCCGGTTCCACAGAGCAGTGGTTCGCGCTACTGATATTGATAGGTACCGTATTTTATCGGATAATGAAATTGATTCTTTATTGTGTTATTCTCGTATCAATCAGTCAACTCACATGCGACACTGGCATTTGGGGGCTTTCACTGGGGAATTTAAAAAAAATCATTTCAGCCCAAGCAGAGTGTCACTAGAATGCAGGGGTTACAGGGAGTGAAAGTGAAGGAGAAGATTCAAAATCGGGAGTATTGAGGAAAGGGCAAAAAAGGAACAAAACAGAAGATGACAATTGACGTTGCATTTACATTTTTGATGATTGTTGTTATCAGGGAAGCCAAAAATCAGAAGTAGTTCAACAGGCAGGAAGTGCGAGAAAAACTGTTAGAGTAACGGTTGCATCTAGCTAGTTCAGCAATATCTAAAAAAAATAATTAAAAGTGAAAAACTATTTACTTACCCGGGAGTCGAACACGTAGTTCTTAAGTAGACCGATTAAGGCTCCTTTGCCCTGAAATAAAAGAATAGGCATTTAAAAAAAATTATTGATATTTAATTAGAAACAGGACAGTTCATGCAAATTACTTTCCTCTTGTGTCCGACAAGTTGGGTAAGCAACGAAACTTAAGTCGCACACCAAACATAGGTATATGTATATTTATTAATATACAGTTTGCGATTGCTAATATATAGTTATTTCATTTACCTACCTACCTACCTAACTAACTAACTATATATATATATATATATATATATATATATATATATATTCATCCTTGAAAGTGAGGTCTGATGATCCAAAGAAAGTCCCTGGTGAAATAAATTATAACTATCGAACCTCAAAGTGGTCTGATTTTCTTTAAATTAATATATATATATATAAAATATACAGATGCTCATCTCATATATAAATGGGCATCTGTATTGATTTTTTTAAATAAACAATAAGCTATATCTCGTGCCAGACGATTTGTGTAACCAAACTTAGGTATACGTGTATTTATTAATATATATTTCTTGCTCTGTCTAACCACATCGAGCACTATTATGTCTACACCTGTTGGCAAAATTTGGTAATTATTTATTTGCTTACCTGTGTATGCACGCCAGCACGCGCATTTACGGTTGCTAATATCTAGTTATTTCATTTACTTAGCTATATATATATATATATATATATATATATATATATATATATATATATGAGTTGACACTGAGGTCAGCATTGAGTCACTGAGTTACGAAACTGTTTCAGGGTTGAATGCAATGTTCAGGCAATCCTGACAATTGTGTTAACGTAGGAAACAGATTGTCGTCATTCGATATTGACCTCTTTGTCCATTCTTATATTTACACGTGATCTATCCCTGATATTGTTGTATCTCGTGTTTTCGAGATGACAGAGAGAAATAAATAAGGAAGACAAACTCGTAGGTAAGTAATGAAATAGAAGGTTTACTACACAAAGGTATACTTAGCAACTGACCTAATGCTTAACTCTGCTAATTAATATAAACGGATGATTCCATTCATTTATGTCCTATATATTTTACCTATAAATATAGCATACAATATGACTATATATATTTTTTGCGTATAGGTTAGTTGGTGAAAGTGTTTTTCTTCTTTTTAATCAGTTATTAGAGATGCTGGTTCCTTATAGAACTTCTATTCAATTTCTGATATCAGTTGGTTATTAGAGTTTCCATTGTTATTTTTAATGGCGATCTTTTATGAAGTCTGAAGGATCCTTTTACATTTTTTACAGTTTTCAAAATATATTAGAGGTTTTATGTAGTTTTTTGGGAGGTATTATAGTTTCATATTTTGGTATTAATTTTTATTTTCTTTTGGAAGTTAAGGATATTGTTTGATTTTGTGTTTTGAAAGAGTTCTTTTTGAAAGAGTACTTTTTGTATTATTGGCTTGATAATATTTTTTTCGGGTTTGACTGAGATGACGGCAACTTATGAGTATATGTTCAACTGTGAGAGTTACATGACATCTGTTGCATGATGGAGGAGTTTCATTTTGTTAGTAAATTTAAGTGTGTCAGATGTGTATGTCGTATTCGGAATCTGTCTTAATTTTCTGAAAAAAAAAAGCCAGAGAAATGTTTGAAAAGTTTTCCTCATCGTCTAAGTAAATCTCGTTTTTTTGTTGTTTTTAAGAATTATTAGTTCATTTTCACGTTAATGTCTTGCCTATTATTACAATAAATTGAAATTTCAAATGATATCTGTTATTAACTCTTTCATGTTTATGCTATCTGAGCCTCAAAAACGAAGAAAAAACGATTTTAAGAATAATATTAAATGATATTTCTACTATTACAACTTGCTACAAGATGTATTCACCTTTTGTCAGAATCGACATGCGCACACACCCATATGTATATTTTAAAAATATAAATGATTAAAAATTATGAATGGTGTTCTTACTCACAGATGGAGATGTCAGATACGTTAAAATTTTGGCAGGCAAGTCACGAAAATTAATCGGCACAAAAACTGTAATGTTTTCTTTATTAAATACTTCTTCTTGCTCGGCTAACTGCAAAGGAAAGAAGAAAACAAATGAAAGAAAGAAAACATTAAAATCCACAAAGAATGTCAGGCTATCCACAACAATTGGTAAGTCAAAGAATCCACACCTTTTCTTCCTGTCAAATTGCAACAAGTTCGCTGCCTTAGAAACAATAACTAGGAGTAAGATGTTGGTTTGATGATTTTTCCCAGACTTGTATTTTATTTTTTTTTCATTTCAGTTGACTCAAATAATTGTGTTAGAAATATACAAAGAACACTGTAACCTTGTTGCACATTGCTTGGAATGTGAAACAAAAATAGTAGAAAAGAATTAACATCGATCATAAATTGTTTTTTTTTATAAATAAAAATCATCGTGAAAGTAAAATGAAACATTTTGAATCTTTGAAACTTACAAATTCGTTTTTTTAATATTTCCCTTTCAATTCCATTTTTGAAAATGAAACTTTTGTTTTTATTTGGAATTATCTTATAAAAACCCAGAATGAAATAGGTGACCTTGTTTTTAATCGTTATCACCCCATGCAAGGCAATAAAGCCACTAAAGCACAAGGGGTTACAGGGCGTAGGAGAATTAGGAACAGAAACATTAATAAAGAGTGGAAATCAGGAGGACAGTAGATAGCGACTGACATTGCATTGAAATTTTTGCAGATTAAAGTTGGCTGGAAAGCATTGAGTCGGAAGGGAGTTCCACAAGCGAGAAAAGAAACTATTAGCATTGAACTTCATCTACATCATCCAGCCAGCTCAACTGTAAATTGATGGGATCTCGGCGCCAAAACAAAAAAGAAATCTAGGTACCATAGTGAAGAGCTCATCCGAACAATAACCAAGGCATTATTTATAGAAAAGACACAGAGAGGCAACCTTATGGCGGTAGGGAAGTGACTGAAACCGATCAGATAGATCAGGACCGATAATATTGCTGATTCTTTGGATTTTATCAAGGAGCTCAAGGTAAATATGCAATTAGCACGGCAAATTTTCTAGACTTATTTCAAGAAGAAAAATACGTCCTTGACGCCGGAAAATTATATATATATATATATATATATATATATATATATATATATATATATATATAATTATTTATTTAAAATATGATTCCAAATCGCTACATAAGAGGTCTCATGTTTCAAAACAAGAGCCGAAAACTTCAATATAATCCTTTAAATTAAATTGAGTTGAAATTAAAAGGGCTCCGTTCCATCTTCAAGCGAAATTTTGTTGGAATAACGTATATCTGAAATTTACTTGTTTTAAAAATTGAAATCAAAATCACCATGGTAACAGCTAGGGCGAATTGTCTAAAATGGGTAGGCGAGTGTAGGGTGTTAATGATAAGTAGCGGTATATAGATACTTTCAAGGTGTCAAGTCGGGGGAAGGTGAGGGTGTCAAAAATGAAACGAAGATGTATTAAGCTTTCGTCAAGTTGGCTTGTCTATGGAGATTTATTTATTTATTTTATTTTATTATTATGAAAGGGAATTGTGCATATAAAAAGAAAGACTTTCGTAACGTTTGTTTTTTGACGACTTCATAAAGGGTTATCTTTTATGTAAGGTGTTTAAACTACTAATTTGGGCTATGGATTATGAAGGGTGTTATGTTGTATGCAAGTTTGTAGTTAATAATTTCTACTATGAATCTGATGATTGGGTTATTTGTTAAACAAGTTATATAATTTTTTTTATTTCAAACCAAAAATCTGATGATGCCTACAAAAAACCGTTAACTCGTGTCTATTATTTAATAGATTATTATTATTCAGAAAGTTCCTTCCTATTTTCCATATATCTTCACATATATATATATATATATATATATATATATATATATATATATGATATTTTAAATGGTGTGTTTGAAAACTTCACACTTCGAATGCTCTTGACAATACCCCGTCGTACTAACGGAAGGTTAATAAACAAAAAAAAAACAAACATATACATACATTTGTCTTTTTGTTTAGAAGTATATCAACCTCTATTCCACAATCTAAATATTTTGTACGGAATTTTAATTTTTTTAATTTTTGAAGATAACAATGGTTTTAGTGATTCAAGTCTTAGCTGGGATAGCGGTAAAGGTGGAGTCATACATTTCCCTAGGATATTTACGAGTAAGTGAATATAAATAATCCAAATTGAATTCGAACTCGGCTCTCTGACTAACAATTCCGAGCCATTATCCATTAAATCACGTGCACACTCAATCTTACGGCACCTGGTATTTCAAGCGGTCACCCATTTAGGTACTGACCAGGCTCGACGTTGATAGGGCGGAACTGCTGTTTCAACGTGATGCGGCCGTAAAGCCTGTGTATGTGTGTAGTGTTCAAATCACATCAAGAAATACCAAATGCTTTGAAATGAACGTAATGTCAATAAGGATCGTTTCTCCTAAGAGAAGTTGATAGGGGGTGACCCCAATATGTACATTGCTTACCCTAAGTAATGTTAAAGTAGACTTTGTCTATTCAGTGTCACACCAGAGAATAAGAGAATCTAGTTATGTTAGTGGGTGACTACACCTGACATGTAAAAAGGTGGTCGACCCAGTTGAGTTACGATATTTATTTGTATAAATCATACAAAATGTGGCACAAGGCCAAAGGAGGGGATAGGGGGAAAGGGATGGTCTTCATCTGTCTTAACTTTAAACTTAGCTAGCCACAAACACTGACCCAAACAGACAACAATATTCCTTACACTAAAACAACACATTCTTACTTACCTTTCTTACTACATCCACCATAATACCTCATTGCCTCTGTGAAAGTTCTAACTAGACTCGATATGTACAATTTATTGTCTGTAGGGGAAGGGAAATAAAACAACAAATTTAAAATTTTGCCCCAATGATTATTTACAAAGATGGACGAAACTATTTACAAGAAACTAAACAAAATAATGTTAGTAATAAAAACTTCCATAGTCCCTAAATGTGGCAGAAATATCATTTAACTGGACGAAATCAATACGGGATTTTAATAATATAAAATATTCATTCATTCAATCACTCACTCAAACATGCACTCATTCAGACACAACAACAAATACGAAAAACACACCTGAAACGAAAGGCGCCCCGCACCCACCAGAGAACTGACGTCACTGACCACCTAGCGAGAGAGGGGATGAGGAATTAAACCAAAGAAAAATAGCGACAGAAATAAAAGGGGCCAATGAGCAAACATCTTTAGGAAGTATATGTGTGGTGCAACCACTGCAGGATATATATGAACTCCACCCGAAAGCGAAAATACTAAGACTCTCAAAATTTCTCGCGAGAAGATCAAGATTTGGAGAAGCAACCAGCTCCCACCAAAGTCACACACCCTTACGCTGATATTAATTGACGGATTCCAGTAGCGAATAAGCAATCATTTTGACGTATGAGAGTTTTATTATTGCGTTCTTATTGTTCATTAAAACATTATAACATTTATATTTATATAACATTAATTTGTTTCCACCTACCGTTAATATCGATCGAAATTTGTTCAATTGAATGTCTGCTATAAACTGGGTGACGTTCTTCTGCAAGTAAAGAAAAAAGTTAAACCAATTTGCATCTAGGAATTGTAATTAAGTTAATTTTCACTCCTTTATTTAACTCTGCAAACATAAAGAGTTTAATATATTTGAATAGATATCTCCACCCAGTTTCGATCCCTTGGTTTAAAATGAATTTTTATATATGATAAAGCATTCCTGAAGCTTTCATTTTAGCTTTAATTGAAAGCTAAATGATTAAATTTACTATTTTCAAATGGAAGTTATATCGATTAGAATCTCAACTTTTTACGTCGGCTATTTTTGATACATTTGTAAACAAAAGTTAATTATCTGTTTTAAAAATCTTCCAAAAAATAAAATATACTTTTCTGAAATTTTATTTGAGAAATATTATCTGATTTAAAGTATAATTAATCTGATTTGAAGAAAAACTTATTTACTTTAAGTTTAAAATAACAGAGTAATAGATTTTTTAAGACAAACGGTAGCGGTGATTAGGCGCTTATCACCGTCGCTTGTCACTCGTATATCACTTAACAAGCGATGATAAAATGTGTCAACATCTTTATTGTTGTTCTATGGAGACTTTATCTGTTAAAAAATAATTTTAAAAAATGAGGGGTGAGCACATTTTTTACATAATTTTTAAGTACTCAGTGATCTTTAAAATGTTGGAAAATATTATTTATATATTTATTATAGTTATCGCTCTTATTTTCTGATTATGTCGTGTATGGTCGGCCATACTTTCAAACTGAGGCATGTTACGTAATATTTCATGAACATAAAAAAATATAAAAATATTTTTAAAATCGTGGTGCAAAATACATTGTATTAAGCTTTTCAATTTTTAATTAGTAAATATAGTTTTCACTTAATAACAATATCACCTAACCGGTTGAAAGTGAAGCAGAATTTTAGAAGATTTATATATTATAAATTAATATAATTAAAATAAAAAAATGAAAATAATTCTAGTAAAAATTCATTAATCATCGAAATTTTGTTGTTAATAAAATAGTGTCCTTAATAAATCTTATTTATAAAAGCAATTAAATGCTTTTCTAATTAAATAATGTCATAGTTTTATTGCATTTTTATTTTACGATTCGGAGCAGATTTTCGGGAAATGTGCAGTAGTTTGAAAAAAATTGATGATTTACATTCTCCAAAGAAGTCCTGTTTTTAACTAATAAAACAAATTTTGAGATTGAAATATAATTTCTCGATATTTCCTGAAATTAAGTAAGTGGGGAGGTCAAATCTGTAAAAAAAAAATTTTTACCGAGATTTTCGAAAAGACATTTTTAAAATAATTTCATTCATTTGTGAATCAGTCGTGAAAATTTCATTAAAATCCGACAATTATTTGCTTTTTGTCAGGATTTCCAAATCAATGTATTTTTCACCTGAAAAAATGGCTCTAAAACACTAATCGTAAATATTACGTCGACCGCTAACGGAAAAAATAAACAAAAAAAAAAAAAACAAGATTTTTAACCAAAATTTCGAACGTGCTAGAAATGATTAAAAAATTTAATGGAATAATAAAAAATACTTTCCTGTTAGGGATAACATAAACATTTTGACGAAAATGTTTGGGGCCTTTTTCATCATGCTATGCTGTTTTTTGGGTTTTTTTTTTTTCAGCTACAAAATGGAGTACCTATATATGAACCACTGCAGTCATAACATGAAGTCTGAAGTTTAACACGTATTCAAAAAGGAGGGAGTGTTTACATAAGACCATAATTACCAAACTTCGTTTGATTATTCTATTCAGTAACCTTTCCTAGCTTACAACACTACATGAAAGAATAAAAATTTTTGTAAACGGATGTAGGAATTATTGCCACATAGATAAAGGGAAAGGAAACTGTAGAAAGCCATGATCGCTCACTTCTTGAAGTAACGTGGCAAATGAATGTGAATCGTGAAACTCTTTTTATCTGAGATATTATGCTAAATTATGATTCAAAATTTTGTGTTTGCCTTCGTCAAAATTGGACTGCAGATCGATCCCTAGTAATTGTGGGTCTGATGGAAGATCCTGAAATATAAACAGAATATATTTCTTAATTTATATAGGATAATAAAATATGGGATTATTCTTAAATAATATAGAAATATTATTTAAGAATAATCCCATATTCCATATGGCCGGATGAAATATCAAATTAGGACTGGTTTCAACCCCGTGCCAAATGTTTGCCGATCACTATATTAAACGATACTTGCAAACAAAAGAACAAACGAACCGCCAAATCTCACCATCAAGCGAAAATAAAAAGGCAAAACTTACAGTTGGGTCTCCTGGAATATTTGGTTCATGAGTCATCAATTTTGTTACGATATGTATGATTCCGTTCGACGCCATGATGTCACGGCCAACATCAATTAAGTTAGTCCGCTTACTCGATCCTCGGAATTTGAACATCAGTTTATTTTTCTGTAAAAAATCAAAATTAAAAAATACATTATTCTGATTAACAAGCATTTTAACTAGCAAACTATTCACAGACAAGATATCACAGACAAGATTTATAAAATAGGAAAAAATAATAAATCCAATTATACGCACAAAACAAATTAAAACAAATTGTCAAATCTAATTTCATGTAGCAAATGAAAATTTATCAGACGAACAGAACTTATCCAGAATCGCAAAAATACATGAAAATCGAATCCATTTATATATTTAGACAGCATATCTTCATTGAAACATGTTTCATTGAATAATATAGACATATTATGTCTACTTATTTCTATACTGATCCTTTCCAGCTGTATTTATGGATTATGACAAAGCGCGTTCGCGCGGTTTTAAAAAATCATTATCATAACGGAATGCAGATTTTATTGCAGTTACAATAAGTTTATCTTTGTAATTTACCGCTGAAGATGATCATAGAAAAGTCGAAAGTACTTGGGTAAAAAAAAAAAAAAAAACTACGGCGCATTGCTTGATGAATTTAATCTTAACATCAGGAAACTGATTGCACAACTGTAAAAGATCAGTATATAAATAATGTCTATATTATTCAATGAAACAAACACACACACATGCACACACAAACAAACACACACACACATACACACACACACACACACACACACACACACACACACACACACACACACACATATATATATATATATATATATATTTAGTTGGATTTATGTGAGTTTGTGACCCTGGGTTTCACGATCAATTACAAACAGTTTGTCTGACGATCGCAAAGAGCGTGAAACCCAGGGTCAAAAACTCACGTCAATCCAACTAAAAATGTTAGTTCTATCACTGATATTGGATGCTTTCCAATAAGTACCGCGCATATATAATATATAAATAATATATATATAAATTGCATATATATATATATATATATATATATATATATATATATATATATATGTATATAAATAAAAAGAAAGAACAGTAAGATATAAAATCCGGTGTTCTTATAGATATTTTATTTTTACAAAATAGTGCTCAATGTAAATTTACAGAGCATTAATATTATAAATTAATTGATTTAAAATATGGTTATTTTCGCTACACAGTTCCAACCATGTTTCAAAAATAGAAGCTAAAAACCCCTAATTTTATTTTTTTGCAAATAAATTAAAAGCATTAGTTCTATTTCATCTTCAAGCGAATTTTGGAGTAACTTTTAAAATTTACCGGGTTTTAAATACACAGCTAAAATCACGTTTCCATGGTTACAGAATATTCTACTCAAATTGAACACGGGGTGTCTAGATTTTCCTTATGACAGTATCATTGTATCAGTTATTAGCTACATTTTGGTAAGGGGTGAGGATGTATTTTACACTGAAACCTGACGTCGGTTGAATGGATGTCGTCTGAATTTAAAAAAAAAAAAAAAAAAAAAAAAATTGTTAACGGTAAAAAAAATTTTCAACGTCATCTTTTAAAATTAAAGATTTTTTTTTTTTACAATACTTTTATTTAACTACGATTTGAAATATTTTCCTTTTAATTTTTATTTTACTATATTCTTTTTTAAGAACAGTTAAATGTATTAGAATCCATTATATTATGTAGGATTATTTTAACATTAAGTTTAAGTATATGAGGTTACATTTTTTTTTTTTTTTATGTATATGAGGTTACATTTTTTTTTTTTTTGATTTTTTTTTATTTAAATAACTCAAATTTCTTTTAAATAATACTACACGCATTAAAAAGAATCCAAAAATAACACCTATAGTAAAATAAAATTAATATGTTAACATGTAAGTTTTTGAATGACCCATGTCCTCAGTATTACATGTGAAATATTTTTAGGTTTTTATATAAAAGAAAATGAATCAGTGAAATTAAGTAACCATTATATAAAAAAAAAAAAAAAAAAAAAAATTTCATGTAACCTCATATACATACTTAAACTTAATGTTAAAATAATCCTACATAATATAATGGTACATTTAACTGTTCTTAAAAAAGAATATAGTAAAATAAAAATTAAAAAGGAAAATATTTCAAATCGTAGTTAAATAAAAAGTATTGTAAAAAAAAATCTTTTAATTTTAAAAAAGATGACGTTGAAAATTTTTACCGTTAACAATTTTTTTTTTTTTTTTTTTTTTTAAATTCAGACGACATCCATTCAACTGGACGTCAGGTTTCAGTGTAAAATACATCCTCACCCCTTACCAAAAATGTAGCTAATAACTGATACAATGATACTGTCATAAGGAAAAATCTAGACACCCCGTGTTCAATTTGAGTAGAATATATTGTAACCATGGAAACGTGATTTAGCTGTGTATTTAAAACCCGGTAAATTTTAAAAGTTACTCCAAAATTCGCTTGAAGATGAAATAGAACTAATGCTTTTAATTTATTTGCAAAAATAAAATTAGGGTTTTTAGCTTCTATTTTTGAAACATGGTTGGAACTGTGTAGCGAAAATAACCATATTTTTTAAATCAATTAATTATAATTATATATATATATATATATATTACACACACAGAGACATATATATATATATATATAGACATTTTACACACACAAAGACACACACACACACACACACACATATATATATATATATATATATATATATATATATATATATATGTGTGTGTGTGTGTGTGTGTGAAAATACAGAAAAACAAACAAAAATCTTAATATGCAATTATGCTGTATTAATGTTAATATAAAGTCGACGTCGGACGTTTCGGTCTATTTAAGACCATCTTCATGGACATTTTCATTTAAACATAATTAACATTAGAACATGATTTCAAAAACGATGGTTCTATCGTTTTTGAAATCATTTTTGATTTGCTTTGTAACGCGAAGGACTTCAAGCGTGTATGAAGATATAAGAACCTATTGATCTCTACGTATTCCTATATCAACGGAAGGGATTTCTTGAACTGTTTATATAAAATAGTTCAATCGACTTTTTTAATATTTTAATATTTGGAAATCATCTTCGAATACGTTTTCACAACATCGCCCACGTGACGACGACGTGATCATATTTAAACGGAACGCTGATCTTATATAAAAATTTCAGTTATCTGTTTGGATTAGTTGTGCTCTTATGTCCATCGTCTTTTGTGTTAAATTTTTATATGTTCTAATGTTAATTATGTTTAAATGAAAATGTCCATGAAGATGGTCTTAAATAGACCGAAACGTCCGACGTCGACTTTATATTAACATTAATACAGCATAATTGCATATTAAGATTTTTGTTTGTTTTTTCTGTATTTTTCTTCATACTGTCGGATCTATATCCATATATTTGCTTACATATATATATATATATGTGTGTGTGTGTGTGTGTGTGTGTGTGTGTGTGTGTGTGTGTGTTACCAATACTATCTCCGGAATTAGAAAATAAGAAACACAATGATACCAATTTTTTTAATCATTTTACTCCAAGCAAGACGGTAATTTCACTAGGACGCATGGGGATTAGAGGGAGTGAAAGAGAATGTGAAGACTTTAGTGAAAACAAGTGAGGAGAAAGGACAAGAAAGAACCGGTTTCAGGAAGAAAAAAGATGGCAATTGGCTTTGCAATTTTAGAAAATTGTAGGTGACAGAGTAGAAAAAAATCAGAAGGAAGTTTCACGGACGAGAATTGTGGGTAAAAAAACTGTTAGAATAGAACATACGGTTGCATCTCGGTAGTTCAACAGTAAAACGGGAAGACCTAGTTACAAATAAAGTAGCACGCTTAAAATCATGCAGTCGATTCTGACAGTGAAAATATTTATAACATCATATGAAAAGTTAATTGTAAGAAAATGACATATAAATTATTATATACCAGAACAACGTTAGGAAAATTAATGACAAAGTGGGAAAAATCGTTTGACGCGTTTCGTCCTCATAATATGTGATACTTTATCAAAAGTGACAAAAAAACATAAGCAAAAAGAAATGAAATGAAATCGGATAGGACAACAAAGATGAAATTAGTTCGAATGTAAAAAAAGGTAAATTAAGATTTTAAATCAACAAACTGAATTGTTCTTTATTCTTTGGAAAAATATTGAACTGAATTTTTGTTTGTCCTTTTGAAAGATTTTACAAGCATATACAGGATAAGGAGGAAGCTTTAAGTTATTAGTTTTGAGACGGTGTGACTTATTCATCATTAATCACTGAGAAGTCAAGGCGTAATTTCTTGTTTCTAAGTCCATCCTTCAAATCAACCATTCGTCCTTGTATGGAATACTGCTGTCATATATGGTCAGGTGCTCCCGCTGTTCACCTCGAGGTCCTAGACAAAATCTAGAGACGGTGGCTGGTCCTGATCTGGCATCCCGTCGACAGTCACTTTCTCACAGACGTGCTGTGGCTTCCCTCTGTCTTTTCTAGAATTATTTTCATGGCAACTGCACCGACGAGCTAGTTCCCAAACTGCATGAATTTAAGCGTGCTATTAGGTTGGCATCTCGATCTCACCCTTTCATTGTCGAAACGGCTAAATGTAACCATCTCTTCTACTCCATCAGCTTCTTATCTCGCACCTCTCGTCAGTGGAAATTCCTTCCTATCACTTGCTTCCCTGATAGCTATAATCTCCAAATATTTAAGTGTAATGTCAATCGACATCTACTGATGCCTTGACCTTGATCCCTGTCCTTCTCTTTATCCTTTTCCCAAACACTCCTCTTTACTTACTCCCACTCTCTTTAACCCCTTGAGAGCTAGTGGCACTCCTGCCTTACTTGGGGTGATTTGCTTAAAAAAAAAAAAAACAAATAAATGTAAGTGTGGCTCGGAATTACAAATCAGAGAGCCGAGTTCGAATTCAACTCGGCTTCGTTGCATTCACTTATGCGCAAAAGTTATGAATCCATCTCTTCTCCCCCCAACTATGGGTTAAATAGCAGGACAGACTGGGTCCTATAGCCTTAGTTGGCAATCAGTCTACCGTGACTGCGGGAAATTTTCTGCCTATTCAATCATGAATTGTCCAACCGTGTATTACGTATGGTATTTGATTTCTAAAAAGATTTATTACTATGATCCCTGGAATGAAGAGAGAATCAGACAACTTACCTTATAAAGAAAGCGGGCAGCATTGCCTTGAAGTGTGTATAATGTTTGGTTGACAAGATCCGTCAAGTAGACCCGTACTGGGAGGATATGTTGACGCAAAATCTGTCGACTTCGATCCTTATAAGTCAAAAGTTCATCAAACTGGAAGTAAAAGTGAAAAATTGGAGAAAATGTTAAACTAATTAATTAAGGTATCAGTTAATTGTTACTTTATATATTTAGCGGAAAAAATGTTAACAAAAACAACCGTGAACATCTAAAACGGCATTATTCCAACAGCGGCAACCACAAAAATGGGTTGCATATCGTCCTCATAATATGGTGATTTATCAGGCTTAGGTAGCTTAAATTCGGCACAAGGTCGAAGGTATGGAGCACTCAGCGAGTTCGATCTTCAATGGGATTACCACATTCATGTGTCCTATCGTTCTCACAATATGGGATATTTTACAAGAAAAGTAATCAAAACATAAACAAAAATACACTAAGTGAAATTAGAGAAAAAAATAAAATGAGGAAATTAATCCGAGTGTAACAAATTAAGAACAGAAACATTAATAATCAGCGCGAAGAGGAAAGAGTAACCAGAAGGCCTGTGGATAGCGATTGAGACAGCATTTAATTTTTTGCAGATTAAAGTTTGCTGGAAAGCATAAAGCCGGAAGGGAGTTTTGCAAGCGATAAGTGCGAGAAAAGAAACTGTTAGAATAGAACTTAGGGCTACAGCTAGCCAACTCAACTGTCAATTAATGAGATCTCGACGTCAGTCTATTACTGTCCTTAAATTTAAAAACGTCTAGGTACCATAAGAAAGAGCTCATCCGAACAATTACCATAAAAGTATATGTAGAAAAGATACCGAGAGGCTACCTTAACGCGGTGGGAAAGTGACTGAAGCCGAGCCGCCAGATCAGGACCAATAATATTGCTGATTTTACTTTGGATTTTATCAAGGAGCACAAGGTAAATCTGGAATTAGCAAAATTTCTGGCAAATTTTCTAGACTTATTTCAAGAAAAAAACGTCCTTGACGCCGGCAAATACGGTAAATGATATATCTATAATGTTTTAAATGGTGTGTTTGAAATCTCCACACTACGAATGCCGTGAAAATACATTATGAGACTTTTTATTATGAGAGTTCCGGGTTTCTAGTTTTCTGGTTTCTGCTTCCCACTGGTAGTAAGGAGCCAGAACTCAACCTATTATTCTCCAATATTCGGGATATTCATTCCAATCTTTAGTAGTGTAAATTCTTTTATCTTGAAACGGTTCTAGATACCTTCGCACTTTGTGAAACTAATTTATATTATTCTATTGCTACCAATGAATTTTCTGTTCCGGGCTATCTTCCTCTTTGTCAAAAATCTTCTATCATACATATGCATGGCTTCGGTGATTATATTTGCGAAAATCTCCCAAATGTAACGAAATTGTCTCTTGAATCCCAAAAGGACTATTTCATGTACTTTCGACTTTCTTTATTGTACTCTGTTAGCTATCGCTTTTTCCTTTATCCCTCTCCTTCTTTTCAGGACTGTAATATATTAAACAGCATTTCTGATAATATAGAAAGGACCCCCTCTATTCATTCATCTGCGAATATTTTGTGCATTGTGATTTTAATTCTCATCTCTTCAAGCGGCTTAAACACTCTAATATTACTGATATTGCCGGTATTCAGACTTTCAGTTTATCCGTTGTTCAGTCCTTCAAACAATAGATTTCCCATCTCGTTCCCCAGATAAATCTGATCAACATGCTTTTTTTTACTTAATTTGTTCCTTACTTCCTCTCCTAGCTCTTGTAAAGCGTCACAACTCTGTCCTCTTTGGAATTCGGATCACGCTGTAGTATCTATTGATATTTCTTTTATGTTATCTATTAGAAAGGAACCTCCTTATCTCTTTACGACCAGCGTACTGACTGGGATTCATTTCGTGACTTTATTCGAAAGATCCCTTGGAGTGAAATTCTTAATCTTCCTATTGAAAATTGTGCCACAGAGGTTTCTTGGGTTAAAGAAGACTTTGATGCTTTTGTACCTTCCCGTAGATACGAGATGGAAGCAAAAATTCTCCTTGCTTCACACTGACCTTTTCAGTCGCTATAGCCCACAGGGATTGCTTTTTCTAAATGTACCAGCGTGATAATTTTGATTGCAACAAATGCCTAATTTGTGTCTACTCGAAATAATTGTAAACCTGTCTTCAAAGATGCTAGGACTTTTTTGCTGATAGAATAGAGCACCGTATAGACTCTAACTAGTTTCGTTCTCGTGACTACTGGCGGTTCTGTAACAGTGTCTTAAACAAGAGTAAGTCTTCTGTCCCTGTCCTCTTCATTCAATTTGAGGTGTTAACATCTTCTGTTGATAAAGCAGAATGGTTTGCTTGTAAATTCTCTTCAAATTCTACTCTTGACTCGTCTGGAGTATCTTTGCTTGACTTTCCATTTTGAACTGAGTCTCTATTGAATATTATGCATATATTTTCTGCTATTATCTTTAAACTGGATACCCACAAAGCACGTGGACTTGATGGTATCTCTGTAATAGTCCTTAAGAAATGTGCTCATGAACTGGCTCCTGTTTGTTCTAAATTCTACAATAAATGCCTCTTTTCTGTTTGTTGGAAATCCTCCTCTTCTGTAGTTCCATTCTTTAAGAACTCAGCTGAATAGCCTAATCCTTATATCAGCCTAGTAACCTTCTACCTCTATTTGGTAAAGTTCTACAGATTCTAATTAACTCTTGAGGCACTTGTATTTAGTTTTGATAAAGAAAAAGTTAAAAAAAGAAAACAAAATAAAAGCTTATACCGCGTAATCGCTTGAAATTTTAAAAAATTGAAATTTGTAATTTGATGTGTTTTCTTTTTATGCATGATTATCGATGAAGCACTCGAAATTAGAATATATAAAAATATTTTTAAAATTGTAAGGAATCATGTTCTCTGCACATATTTTATATTCACTAACGTAGAAAATCAATTTAAAAACGAATTTACATAGCATTCTGGTATGAAATTGCTTGATTAATTCCAAAATAGCAATAAAAGTTTGCGGAAGAAAATCGTTTAGAAGTTATTGACATTATAAGTTCAGCCTTATTCGCATCTAGCCCGGCTACCATTACTGGCCTTGTTTACATACGTTTGTCTCGAGTAGTAATGCGCGGAAGCTTACTTAGTTAACGGCCTTTTTTACTGACCTTCTTATTTTCTTACTCCTCTTGATTACTGCGTAATTCGCGAAATTTAATTTAAAGTTCGTGCATTGCACAGTAATCAAGACAAGTGAAACTTCCCTGGCTTACTACTCGGGGTAAACATATGTAAACAAAGACAGTAACGGCGGCAGGGCTCTAAGACGAATGAGGCCGAAATTAAATTGTCGATAACTCCTAAACGGTTTTCTTCCGCAATTTTTTATTGTTATTTTCGAAATAAGCATGCAAATTTACACCAGAATGGAAATTTTCATTACAATTGGTTTCCGGGGCTTAATCTGCAAATTTAAAAAAAAAATAATATTAAAAAAATGATATATTTGTAGTTTGGAGGGCTTAATTTATTATAATATGAGAAACTAATGATAAAAAAATCGTTTTTTCTGCTTGCATCGTCTATTGAATTAGTCCGCTAAAACTGCAAATCCCACAGTAAAGTTGGCTTATATTGTCTTCTTAGCAGTAATTATGTTCAATGCAGAGGCCGAATTTCCAAAAATGCCTTGAAATTATTCTTGATTAGCGATTTGTAATTAGCATCGAAGTCTAATAACTTCAGCAATAAATATTTAAAAAATTTAAAAATAGGCGCCTCTTTACAATGCATCGCTTCAACAACTTACCGACATTTCACGCTCGATATTTCTGAAACCGGAATCCAGAGGGACGAAGATTGTGTAGTTGCCATGTTTTACCAGGTCCCCTTTGTAAACAGATGACACTAGGGTCAGAAATTTTCCTATTAATCCGAGCAATGACGTATCATTTGAATTCAGTTGATTGATTCTCTGGAAACAAAAATAATAATAGTATGAAAAATATATAGAAAGAGAAAACGAAAATTGGTAAGAAGACAACGAAGAAGAAAGCAGCGAAGAAGGACAATAATAATAATAATAATAATAATAATAATACTTAAGGGTTTGGAAATGTACAAAGTTTCATCGTTGATAATAAATTAATAAATTTAAACACAGCAAGAAACTGTGGAAAACCACATTATAGCTAGATCACAACAAATGTACTGCCATTTTGAAATGTTTGAATATCCGACAAGAAATCTGTCACCCTTTCTGTTCTGTCTGGCTTTAATATCCCTTTTGCATGAACTAAACAGTAATAACTATGAATACAAAGCAAAAAAGAAAGCATTTAATCACCTACTTTACATGAATGATATCAAATACTGCCAAAGACGACAGTGAATTGATAGGTATCCTCATTACTACAGTATAAATGTTTCAGTGATGACATCGGTATGGATTTCGGATTAGATAAATGTGTAAAAGTAACATTCAAGAAAGGGAGAACTACGGACACTTAATCAAGATCAAGATTTTGTCACAAAGATTAGGGAGCTAGAGCAAGAATAAGCCACTAGATACCTAGTAATTAGCAAAAGAGATGGAATACAGCTTATCTAAATGAAGGAGAAAGTAAGGAAAGTACACTACAGACGTGTGCGTCTAGTGATGAATACAGAATTGAATTCACAAAATAGAATATCAGCTATAAACACCTTGGTTGTACCCGTGGTCCAATACAGTTTCAACATGCTTAACTGGACCATAGCTAACATTAAGCGAATGGACATCAATAAAACTTCTCACTTGCTATCGCATCTATCATCCCAATGATGTTGATCATCTGTATGTGACCAGATCCAAAGGAGATAGAGAATTAGATTAGGCTTTCAAAGATACCTGGAAACTACAGAAGACTGGATGATAATCTGTGTCAAATAACATGAAATACGTATGAATCTGTATTCTAATGAAAGCCAACAAATTCAAAATGGAATTTCAAGTGGGTGAAGAAATGTAAGTAAAAAATAATACAACTACTGCAGCGGAAAAAGCTTAAAGAAGAAAGCAAAGGCAAATGCAATGGACCAGATACAGAAACGATGGCAAGATAAGCCTCTTCAGCTGATATAGACAAACCCTGTTCCTATCAGTGGTTACGTAGTGCAAGGTTAAAAACTGAAACCGAAGGTTTTATTCTTGTTGCACAGGACCAATGATTGCTAACTAGAAATTACCAAGCGCCCATACTGAAAAATTGTGTTGACCCCAAATGAAAATTCTGTGATAAATATCCAGAAGCAATTGATCATCTTATATCAGGTTGCGCGGTTTTAGCACCAAAAGAATATAAAACTTGGCATGATAGAATGAGCTAATATCTGCACTAGGAAATCTGCAACTTTTACAGGAAGGAAACTGCAAGAATCTAGTATGAATATCATCCAGACCCTGTTACAAAGATAGGACCGGTAACAATTTTATGGGATTTTACAATACAAACAGACGGAACATTCAAAGGTAATCGCCCAGACATCATGATCGAAGATCCCAAGAACACAATGTGCTTTCTTATTGACAATGGTTGTCCCTGCAGACTCTAATGTATCTTTGAAGATCTTAAAAAAAAAAAACTATCAAAATACAAGGATCTTGAAATGAAAATCTAAAAACCTTTGATACATGTGGACATCAAAAATTCCAGTTGTAGTTGGAGCACTCGGATTGATTGGAAAATGTTCCGATAGACTCAATGATTCAAGGATTCCTGGTAGCCCATACATTAAGAAAATACAAAAAAAAGTACTCACAATTACAGCTCACACATTACGAAGAGCTTTATCTATGAAAAATATGTGTGATCGTTGTTTTTTGTTCGTTTTTTACAAAAAATTATCAGTGGAAAGCCATTTCTGACTTCAGGTCTCTAGTTGGGATCCGGAAGTAAACTTGTATACAGCAGAAATCAAACGGAATAATAATAATAATAATAATAATAATAATAATAATAATAATAAAAACAACTTGGTCAAATGAAATTACAAAAAAAAAAATCCAGAAAAATTGGGAGGGCAAGGCGTTGCATGGTAAATACCTAAAAAGAACGAAAGAAGCAACAGAAAACACATCAGTGGCTGAGGAGCACTGAGTTGAAAGCTGAGACAGAAAGCCTAATTATTGCAGCTCAGGACTAAAGCCTCGCAACCAGATCCTATCACTGTCACATAATCAAGGATAGAATTAACCCGAAATGCAGGATCTGCGGAAAATATGATGAAACTGTCGACCATATTATCTCAGGATGTCCGGAACTAGCAAAAAATGAATATACCCACAGACATAACAAGGTAGCGTCATATGTGCACTGGACGATATGCAAGGAGCAGAAAATCGAAACCACTGAGAGATGGTATGAGCACCAACCAGACACAGTTACTCAAAATAACGATGTAACTATCCTTTGGGGCATTGTGATGTGTGATGAAAGCAGATATCCTAAATACGCATATGATAGGGTTAATTTCCGCCTAGCAACAGAATAAAGATCACGTGAGAGTCTTATAACATTTTGGGAAGGCAGGTCAGAAGGTTGACTGACCCAATTAACCGTAGCGACAAATGTCTAGACAGAAGCTAGACAGGGGACGGTTGTAAGTTAGAATTCGCGCCCAAAACTTAAGACACGTGACAGTCAGAGATTCACTCGAGGATCAGTTGCTATCTTGATTTTGAAGAGGCAAGACCTGAAGCCGAAACGCTGATAGTTTATGAACGGAAAGATAAGACGCATTTGATAGTAATGAAACTTATCCAGTTCAATCCAGGCAACTCCGGACAAGAAGTATTCCTGTTCGATAATCCCCAAGTTGAAGACGCAGAGAACTTTATATGCTGAGGATTCAGCCTGCGTTTAAAGAAAAAGGAAAAACCAGAGAAGAAAGCATATACCTCTGTTACAAGTTGAATTGTGTAGAGAAAAGAAAACGGATATCCAGAGAGAGGAAGAAAGTATACCTCTGTTACAAGTTGAATTGTGTAAAGAAGAAAAGGGAAAACGAGAGAAGAAAGTGTATACCTCTGTTGTAAGCTGAATTGTATAAAGAAGAAGAAGGAAAGAAAGAAGAGAGGAAGAAAGTGTACATCCCTGTTGCAGTAAGTCGGGTTTGGAAGCCGAGCTGTCGACAGAAGAAAAGGAAGGAAAGAAAAAGGCGAAACAAAGAGAGGAAGAAAGTGTATACCTCTCATACAGCAGGGCAGCGTGTGAAATTGTGTTTGTGTCGAGAAAAGAAAAGAAAGGACATTGATATAAAAAAAAGTGAACTGAATATAAAAGATAAGTAATCATATTTTGGATCCGTAATAGAAAGATATATATACATCCATGAATATTATGTTTTCGCAAACACCTTTCCACATGTAAAACAATAATTGTAACTCCTATCCCATTCTTTTTGTGTGTGCGTTGGTTTCTGCATTCAATTCATAGTAATTCATACTTATATTTTGTATGTTCGGGTTCAGTTGAATCCATTTGATGTTAGGCGAATTTGATATCCCAAAGTAAGTTTGAGATCGGGTCGTCGGATGTTTTAACTCATACTTATCTGTTCTTTTATTGTGATATATGTATATTTGTACATATTAAAATTATTGTATCAAAAATCGCTAAGCCTTATAGTTCCTCCTTGTATTGTGGATCAGTATTCGTGTTGAGAACGAAGCGGACCTGGGAAAGATTACTGTTCGATTATCTCAATCGAACAGTGGTCTTAAAAATATCTTTGTTTACCAATTGTCCATTGTCACGATCTGAGAGAGATAGCTTGTATCTCTCCACGGGTGTGAGAATGTATATATCTCCTAGTCAGCGTATGATCGCCCTATAAACCCATTCGTCGACTGGGGCATATGACAGCATTCCAATTCAAACTGACAGGGAAATTAAAACCAACAACTCTGATATTATCATATAAGACAAAAAATTTAAGAAGTGTATGCTTATTGACATAACAGTACCATCTGAGAGAAACACCTCCATGAAAATTATGGAGAAATTGTCCAAATACAGGGACATGGAGATCATGACTAACAGGATGTGAGGAATGAAGACTGAGACTGTACCATTAGTAATCGAGGCTCTGGGCCTCTTGAAAGGTCCAAAGATTCGATTATTATTGGTACATTCCTAACACAGCACATTAGCACCCATTTAAACACACACACATAAACTTATTAGGCTCCATCCGAAATATACTAGTAGAAAATACAAACATAATAACCTTATCCACATGCCCCCAAAATTAAATATGATGGAAGACATAATAATAAAAAATAACACTTAATAATATTAACTCCAAACACGGCCACAATGTGCTGTGTTCGGAATTACAGAACATTTGGACAGCTTCTGCACACTCTGTCTCCATAAAAGAAAACATTTCTTCGAATACAAGAAAAATTAAATAAAAAGCTTAATCGCAGTACCTTGTCTGTTGTCTTTAATGAAGCATACACACACACACACACACATATATATATATATATATATATATAGATATATATACATATAGATATATAGATATAGATATATACAAATACAAAGTATTTTAAGACATGTAATGTATAACATTTCCTTACTTGAATCAAATTTCCAAAACATTCCTTTCGTCCATCACCCACGTAACCTTCTCTACATCGGCATCTGCAAAAAAAAGAAAAAGAAAAAAAATAGCAAAAAAAAATTATCGATTCGTTTCCTATGGCTTATTTAAAGAGAATATTTTAGATTGTAAGAATTTTTTAAAGATGATAATGGTTTCAAGTTTTACTAATTAACCCATAGCTGTGAGAGAAGAAGTTGATTCGTATCTTTCCCAATTGTATATGCGCGTAAGTGACTATAACGAACACAGCTGGAATTGAAACTCGGCTCAGCAATTAACAATTCCAAGCCATTAACCATTACATCACCCACACATCCAAGTTTACACCACCTGGTATTCTTAAACAGTCACTTTGGTGATCGTAGGGGAACCAGTGTTTCAACGTGATGTGGCTTGTAATCCATTTTAAATTATTAAAATGAATATAAATGGTAAGCTAAAACTAACTCTGTTAAAACTAAATCGAAAAATAAAATAAAGCATTTTGTTGTGTTATGGAGGCCCAATATAGTAATGAATTGCGACTCGGATTGACGAATCGGAGAGTCAAGTTCGGATTACAGCCGTGTTCATTACATTCATTTACGAATTGTATGAATTCAACTCTTCTCCGCACAGCTATGGGTAAATAGTAGGACAGACTCGGTTCTATAGCCTTGGGTGGCAACCACTCTAGCTCCCCCATCTCCCAGCAGGTCTGAGCCACCCGTAGAGATACAACATTCCATGGAAACACGCACTGGCTGACATTCTTTAGTCTTGTGAGTAGTGCATTCGATCGCAGGACGAGAAAGTGTTTACTTTTTTTATTGAGTCGTACGTAGACGACACTGTGTTCATGGGAGACAGAGAAAAAAATTACGGTACATCCTAGACAGTAAAAAAAAAACGAAAAACAAGGAATAAGCATCAATTGCAAGAAGACAGAAAGTATGATCATCAGCAAGTGGAAATGTCTAAGATGCGAGTTACAAATTGAAGATATCAACAGGAAGAAAGTACGGACGTCTTTTAATAGCGGAAGAGGCGTTCCAAAATGATAATCAGTTTGCTGACAAAAAGAAAATCTTCGTTAGAAACGAAGAAAAATAAAGTGCTGTGATATTCATTCTTTTATATGGCAGTAAATGCTGGAAAACTCCCTACGGATGAGGCGAAAACTGGACGCAACAGAAATATGGTTCTACAGAAGGATATTGAGAATACCATCGACGGAGCGACTAAGCTAAAAACGGAAAGTCTGAAAGAAAATGCTAATAAAAAGAAAACTTATGCTCTGAATAAGAAACAGGTGAAACTTCTTGGACACAATGAGGAAGGAGGGACTGGAAAATTTAACCTTTACGGGGTATATTAAGTGCAGCCATTTCACCCTAAGCAAGGCGGGAATGCCACTAGTATGAAGGAGGTTACAGGGAGTGAAAGTAAAGGAGAAGTCTGGGAATAAGGAGGATTGTGGAAAGAACAAAGATGAACGGTATTTAAGAAGACAGTAGATGGAGATTGTTGTTGCAATTAAATTTTAGAAGATTGTTTTTTATCAGGGAAGCAAGTAAACGGAAAGGAGTTCCACAGGGGGAAAAGAAACTATTGGAGTAGAAGTGGCGGTTACTTTTAGCTATTTCAACAGTAAAAGGGTGGGACCTCAATGTCAATCTAGTAGCTCGCTTAATTTCATGTATTCGGAGCAGTAGGGAAGTCAGAGCTGTTTTTATGAAAATATTTGTAAAAATGACAGTGGGAAGCTACGTCACGTCGGTGAGAATGTGACTGAAGTCGAGATGCCAGGTAAGGATCGATTACATTACAGATTCTTCTTTGAATATTTTGTCAAGAATCTCGAGATGAACAGCAGGAGCACCAGACCAAATATGGCAACAGTATTCAATGCACGGATGAATGGTAGATTTATAAATCTACAAAATGGATTCTGGCGAGAAAACATTTCTGGTATGACACAGTGAGCCAACTTTCCTTGCAGTATACGGAGCAATTGATTCGATAGTTGTCAGTGGAAAATGTGAAATCAAGGAGGAGTAGATTGTTGCTCTCCTGTAGGTTAGCATTAGTCATGCTGATGTCGGACTGAAAACGTTCTCTCAGTTTGATAAACTTAATATGCATTAAGTTTTCAAATTATTTACCCAAGAACAATAATGGTGTGTTCAAGGGATTTGGTTCCTTCATTGAAAACTGACCAAAAAGATATTTTTTTTAAAATATGGATGAAAGTTGCTATATTTTTTTTTCGTTATCTCAGTAATTTGATGAACAATTATGTAAAAATTCAGTATTTTTTATGGCGGGAAAGATGCTAATTATTTGACTCCTCCCGCTCACTTATTCTTCGTCTTCATTTTATTTTATGTGTCGTGTCCAGGACATAGGTGATAATGGCTCACCACAACTTCCTATCTTTCGTAGTTCTAAGTAATATATATATTTTTCTGACATCCATTTACACAAGAAAGTTACGTAGGTTATTTACTGTTTTCCTCTGTCTCTCTTGGCTTCAATTTTCCCTCCGCGTTTTATATTTTCCAAACCCTCTATACTGATTCTATAACAATTCTCTCTATTCTGTCCTATAAATTTAAACTATCTTTTATTTTAAGCATAAGTGTTCATTTTGGTTCCATTTTCCTGAAAACTTTTTTTATTGGTTCACACGTTCCCTCCTTGGTATTCTCAGCATCCTTCTGTAGAAGCACATCTTTTCATCTATGAGGAAAGTGTCCACATTCCCTGCCATTATAAGAGGATTCATATTCTTTTCTGCCCTTTTTTCTTGTTTCCCGCTGTATCGAGCTAAAGAAAAGAAATTACTGTGATTGAAATTCTTCAGGAAAAAAAATCTTACGTCGTTTCGCCGACGGACTCCGTTGTACAAATGGCCATTGGGTGACATTCATTTTGGCTCGATAAACAAAGGTCGATGATTTCGCATCCAGTGCTATTCTTCCACTGATAGCCCAAATTACATTTGCACATTTTCTGGAAGATATAGAAGGAAATATTGAATCTATAGAAAAAGGACGATAGATTGATATTGACAAATTGAGAAAGATAGATAGATAGATAGATAGATAGATAGATAGAGAGAGAGAGAGAGAGATCGATAGATAGATAGATATGAACAGACTGAGATAGATAGATAGATAGATAGATAGATAGATAGATAGATAGATAGATATTGACAACTTGAAGTAAATAGATATTGACAAATTGAAATAGATAAATAGATAGTGACAAATTGAGGTAGATAGATATTGACAAATTGAAATAGATAAATAAATATTGACAAATTGAGATAAATAGATATAAGACAAATTCACATAGATATTGTCAAAATGGGATTGATAAATAGCTATTGAAAATGAGATAGATAGATATAGACAAATTGATATATATATATATATATATATATATATATATATTTATATATATATATAGAGAGAGAGAGAGGGAGAGAGAGGAAGGGAGAGGAGTGGGGGATAGCGGCTCGGATTGAGGAATCGGAGAAACGAGTTCGAATTCCAGTCGAATCCATTACATCACCTTACGTGCTAATACCCTTGGGAAAGGTATAAATCCTCTTCCAGCTATGGGTAATTAGCAGGACAGACTGGGTTTTACAGCCTTGGATAGGAACTGGTCTAGGAGAACTCTGAATTCAAAACCTTTCGTCTGATTCGTTTTGTGACCTTGTGGTACATAGTGCACCGGATCTCTGTATTCGGCCCTTCAAAAAGTGTGGTTGTTTCTGCACAAAGACTTCACCACTATAATCAAATCATATGTGCTGGTGTCTGGGCTGTTGGTTCCTAGGAAGAGAGTATATATATATATATATATATATATATATATATATATATATATATATATATAGAGAGAGAGAGAGAGAGGTTTAATTAACTCCAATTTCCGTCGAAATTTGGACGTAAAACGGTATCCGTGTAACTTGCAGTCCGGGTTTGTTAAGTGAATTATTTTATTATATTGATAATTATTACAATATTCCATGATATTGAGCTCTATTTATGGAGAATGTTTGCCTTGGGTATGTTCTCTGTCAGAGTTTTATTGATTTACATGAAAGAAAGGGAGACAGAAAACAAGAAAGAAAGAAAGAAAGAAAGAGGGTTCCACTACACAAACACCTTTTCCCAAGATGCTTCAATTTGTATGACAAACACGTGAGTACTTGTCTGAATACCACAAATTTTAACCTCACTCATCATGAGTCAGGCGTTATCTATCCTCTTAATTCTTAACATCTTCACTTCCTACCAAATCTCCCTTCACACATATCACACCTCATTCATCATGAGCGCTCTATATTGAGTGACTCTCGTACCTTGTATAGAGTGAACTTTAGTATAAAAACGAATGCTGTATAAGAATGCCATGAACAGGATGTTTTTTTTAAGGAAAATCAAACTCAATGAGGAAGATACAGTTAACATTTCTGGGTCACATAACGAGGAAAGGAGGTTTGGAGAATCTAACATTTATTGAAGATATATTGGAGGAAAGAGAAGCAGGGGAAAATGCGAGTAAATTAACGCATTTCTTCAAATGAATAGCAGGAAAATGACATAGAGGGATGATTAAATGTTCAAATGTTATTTAGCAATAAAATATAGGAAGATGTGGAGAGACAAAATCAATCACATCCTGAAGGGATACACCACATAAAAGAAGATATATCTTAGCTAGTAGGCACCTAATGGTAAAATCATTTATTTTATGGAACAAGAATATATTTTTCAACATAATCTCCTTCCTTATCAGTGCACTTTATTCAGTGTTAAATATCAGTTTGATTTGTTTTTGTTTTTTTTTGTTTTTTTTACAGTTTATCAACCTTTTGCAGGTTATTTAAAACCAGAAAATATTTTTAAACTGTAAGAATTTTGGAGGAAATAATAACGATGTCTTCATACAAGTCCTAGTAATTAACCCTTAGCTGGGAGGGAGGACAGATGGTTTCATTTGGAACACTACTCTCCGATTTCCAATTCCGGGCCATTATCCATTACACCATCCGCACATCCAAGCTTACATCACCTGCTATTCAGCGGCTACACAGGGCCGACCTTGCTTAACTTCGATAATCGTAAGGGAACGGGTGTTTCAATGTGATTTGACAGTAAGCTGTCATATACATTGGACAGTTCTGATCCAAAATTCAGCTTCTGACATATTTATTTAGTGTTGAATATTAGTCATAGATCGGCGTGATGATAAAAGTATGTAAGAGAATTATCTTTTTTTGTGTGTGTGAAAGCAGGAAAAACATTTGAAAAGGACCCGATTCAACATGCTATTTCCGCAAGAGACGACCATTTTTTAAACTTTGGTGGTCAGCTTCACAAAAAGCTTTTGCATTAGAACATCGTTTGTCGTACTGAATTTCTTTGCATGAATTTTAATACCCGCAGAAAAAAAATTACCTGTGTAGAGTGCGAGCACCTATTTTTGCGTAAAAATCATATCATACTCAAGTATATCGGTATGAAATCAGTTCGATCATTTCAAAAATTGTAGAAAAACTTACTAAAACGGTGTAGCTTAACTTATGCCCATTTAGAATCATACCAACGATAACATTTCTTTTACAAGGCTATGACGCTTTAGGACGTGGGTGATCATGGCTCTCCACAGATTCCTTTTTCTTTATTATCTGTGAATTGTCATGCACTCTTGGGAAAGATAAAAAGACTGCTTTTCAGTTGCCTTCTCCATCGTTTGAAATTCAGAGTTTTCGTTCTGTTAGACTGGTTGCCACCCAAGTTTGGAGAGTCCAGTTTACTCTGCTATTTAACATAGTTGGTAGAAGAAAAAAGATGGCGTCATACCTTTCCCAAAGGCCAAACGTGAAGGTGAAAGCAGTAGACTTCATTTACCGCGCACACCCTATATATTATATGTTGTTAAATATATCTAAAATCACAGTATCTAAAATAATAAATATTTAATTCATTGATTTTATAACGCATTTTTACAATTATTGTATTATAGTCGTATTATTTACTATTATACACCCTTGTGCAAATTAACTTAAACAAAACGAATAATTCCGTTATTATTTACTTTTTTCGTATTTTTCCAATGAAACATGACCCAGTGCACATGTTAGTACTTAGCATGCCCGCCTTCATTTTTTAGAAGCTCTTTGATGCGATTTGACATGGAATCCACTAACTTGGAGCAGTCGTTATTGATTTTGGGGTCACGGTACCAAACGTCTATAATGGCCGTCATGAGCTTCGCTTTCGTCGTACACTCCGCGATCTCTCTGTAAAGCTTGCCAGTGTGTTAATGCAGCGTTACAATTTTCGTACGCTTCCTTGGAGTGATATCTATCGCAAGCAATGGCCGTAGGATAACTAATCGACAGTCGGGACAATAGTCTAGGCTGGATAAAAATCTGATGCAATCACGGATGACGTAATATTTTTCTAGGCCAAACAAATTTCATCATGCACTCTGAAAATAGATTCATATTACTGCACACGCCTGCAAATGACCTAATCTGAGGAAAAAATAGAAATCGATTGCACCCTGTCACTCCAGTGGGTCTAAAACTGACTGTATAGTGAAAGAAAGAAAACTAAAGCGGTCGTCTCAATTAATTTGTACAAGGGTGTATACCAAATAGTAATAAACATATCAGTGCCTAGTAGACATTAATATGAGTATGAATGTCACTTTAACCAGACAAATGCAAGTTAACCCACTGGTTAGCGTAATAGTTTTATGTCTGCATATATGAAGAGTAAACATATAACTTTAAGCATCCATTTTGTTTTAATAGCTCAGTACTTACCTGCGCTGGTCCAATGTGTCTACAAATTGATGTCTCTGGTGGGCAACCTCCATTGTTCACGCGACAAGGATTTATCTCCTCGCAATTATTACCAATTAAATCGTACCCGGTCGGGCAGATGCACGTGTATTTGCCGGTACCAGTGATTACGCAGCGGGCATTCTGTGAGCAGGGATTACTGGCACACGGATCAGCCACTATTGAAACAGAGGGAAAATGTATTGAAAATAGGGAATGAAGTTTAGTCTTAGTAACACTGTTCATTAAAAAGAAAGAAAGAGTACTGTACTTTTATGTAATATCGGTCCTCCTATATGGCAGTGAATGCTGGACAATATCTCCACAGTTGAAGAAAAGACGAGGTTATTGGGCCTTCTACTTGAGATTTAAGATAACGGAACAACAAAGTATTAAGGCTCTTGGGCTCTATATTTGTCAGAGAAGCTGGACAGCTTACGGCCGCATCACTTTGAAATATTGGTTCCCGTTTGATCACCGAAGTTATGTAACGTCAACTCTGGTTAGTACGTAGATAAGTGATCACTTTGGAATAACAGTTGCTGTAAGATTGGATGTGTGGGTGGTGTAATGTTTAATGGCTAGGAATTTTTAATCGGAAAGCCGAATTCGAATTCCAGTTGGGTTCGTTATATTCACTTGCGTGCAAATACCCTTGGGACAGTTATGAATCCACCTCTTCCCCCCACATCTAAGGGTTAATTAGTAAGATTCATATCACTAGAATCATTATTATCTCAAAAACTAAAATAAAATTGCATAAAAAATCTTGTGTATTTACAGAACGATGCTGAGAATACTATGGACAGAACATGTGAGCAATAAGGAAGTTTTAGAGAAAATGAAAACAAAAATGACACTTAAAGTTAACATCAGGAAGAGACAGTTAAAATTTTTAGGGCATATGATGAAGAAAGAGGGCTTGAAAAATTTGATACTCACAGGACAGATTGAAGGTAAGAGAGAGAGAGAGAGAGAGAGAGAGAGAGAGAGAGAAAGAGAGAGCAAAACAAAACCTACCTAGCGAGTTTGTGTAAATTGGTGATGAAGAAAGGTTTAGGAGAGATAACGAAAAGAAAAATGTGGTTCTACTGAAGGATGCTGAGAATACTATAGACTGGACACGTGAGAAACATTTGTGGACATAGGGAACATACTGGGAAAAGAGGACTTGAAAAATTTGATATTCACAGGGCAGTTTGAAGGCAAGAGGGACGGAGGAAAAACATATAACCTACTTAGCGAGATTCAATAAATAGATAGTGGAACAAGGTTTAGGAGAGGTAACAAACAAACAAAATTTATTAAGAGGCTCAAAAGACAGGAAATTGCGGAGAGCCATGATCGCCAACGTCATGAAGGGACCCGGCAGATGGAAGAATAACATTGTTTTTTTTTTAAAACAAAGAAAGCAAAAAACTATACTCTTATGTAATGTCGGACTTCCTATATGACAGTGAATACTGCACAATACCAAAACAGATTAAGAAAAAACTTGAGGCAACAGATATTTGATTCTCCAGAAGGATTCTGAGAATACGATGGACTGAACTAGTGAGCAACGACGAAATATTTAGAGAAAATGGTAACAAAAAGAACACTTATATATATGTAGCATCAAAAATAGACAGTTGACATTTATAGGGCAAACAATGAGGAAATCGGGCTTGGAGAATTTGGCACTCACAGAATATATTGAATGTAAGAGGGACAGAAGAAAGCAGCGTATAATGAATGGCCTTATGTTAAATGGATGCGAGAACAGGGATTAGGAGATAGCAAACTTTATCAAGAGCTACAAAAGACAGGAAATTGCAGAGAGCCATGATTATCCTGTGATGAGTAGCTTTAGAAATATTCTTTAATCAAAATCCATTGTGTCAAAATATAAATATGCCCCCTACAATCAATAATGGTTCATTGTTTTTATTTACAAGGGTTCTGACGCCCAGAGCAGTTAATTCCTATCAGCTGTCACCAGACCATTTTGAAAATTAGGTGAGACTCCAAATTCTAAGAAATGCATCATGTTTCGTTAATAACAGTCAGCACAATAGAAATAATTATTACCTAAACAAAATCTTACACCCTAAAAATATTTTCTGTCTTTAAATAACCTGCAAAAGGTTGATAAGCCATAAAAAACGAATGAATCTGTTAAGCGATATTGCAATCCTAATATGTTTATCGCAATGCTGGGATCAGCAAAGTATGTGTGGGCCTAATTTCCTCTCAGTCTATCCAATGATTTTCATGACCGCACGCACGGTTTGAACACACATGCACAGTTATATATAGTCCTGTGTGAAGAAGGTTGCAATAAAGTGTTCTAAATGTGAACGGGTCATTATTTTTCACATGAAAGTATTTGCATCTGATTCTGTAACATCTTTTTTTATATCACTCACAAGGATTTCGATTTAATTCTTCAAATCAAGCCCTACTGATGTCGCTAAACTACCGGCCAGTTATACACGCTGACCCTCAGCTGAACAGAAGTGACAGAGGTTAATGTCACAGTAGTTATAAAAATAGTTTTCATTCAACTGTCCAATACACACAAAGTGTCTTCCCTGATAATATGTTCGCATAATGTACCTGGTTTCAATTCCAGCCTTAATAGTAAGTCTTGATTGGTTCAATATGGTTAAATTGGCAGCTGATCTAATAAAATGACCTACTTTCAGTTGTTAATTGTAGCAAGGAATATATTGTTAATTTCAACACGTCCAAAGCAGTTCTCTATTTATCGGCTGAGAGATCTCTTTCTGCATTCCATGAGCATGGCTGATACTAACCTCCAGGCGAGTGACTCATTGCACTTTCTCGGACCATGAAAGTTGGCATGAAAGTGGAAACCAGTTGCTAGGTCTGTTGCTAAGAAAGTTGGTTCTGATCATTTAAATCTACTTGTCAGAGTCAAAATAAGAAATACCAAAAATATGGATAAATTCAATCTTAATAATAACAGACAATTACTTCAGGTGGTGTATAAGGTACAAAAACGAGTCTGTTACAAAAGTGAGTCGAGATAATCACAGCTTACAAGAAGTCAAAACACGTATTCACGAAGAAACCTGAATATGTGTCCGTTAAGGATCACTATTACCAAGGAAACAGCTTCAGAATACTGGATAATGTAAGCATTAAGGTGATGCGTACAATGACATATTGTTGTTTTCCCTTTACATTTTGTTGGAGGAGGAGCGTCACTGCCAACGGAAAGGAGATGCCACCTTTAAAAATGAAACACTGCAACCTTTAGCAGAAATAGACGGTTTCTTATACCAAGTCACTTTAAATGTAACTGAAAAATATTATGATTATTGAATCTAATGTTTATTTGATGGCGTGACAAGGAGGAAATGATAGAATATTCTGAGGAAATTTCTGGAGTTCTAAAAAACCGAAAATAAAATTAATGCCTCCATTCTTCTGGTTTTGAAATCACTTTCTTTTATTCACCGTTTCTTAGCAAAATTAAAACAGAAAGTACTCAAATCTATTCTCTCATTTCAAGCAGTCAACTTTTAACAATCTCGCTCAGTCCTGTTTTACGAGATTCTTTTACTCATTCTCTTTATTTGTAATTTAATAGTTTCGCTCCAAGCAAGTTGATAATGCCACTGGGACAAATGGGATTACTGGAAGTGAAAGAGTATGAGAAGACTTTAATGGGGAGAAATGGGGAAAAGAACGATCAATGAACAGGATTCAGAAAGACAGGTGATAAACACTGATGTTGCGTTTAAATCTTTGAAGATTGTAGGTGGGAGGGAAGCAAGAAATCGGAAGAGCGTTCCGTAGGCGAGAAGAAACTATTAGAATAGAACTGACGGTTGCATCTAGCTAGTTCAACAGTAAAACATTGAATCCTAGTTGCCAATCTAGTATAACGCTTAAATTCATGCAGTCGAGGTGCCAAGGAGGACAGCTTATCAGAACAATTGCAATTTGTAGAAAGGACAGAACGAAGTTACTTCATATCGGTGAGAAAGTGACGGAAGTCGAGATGCCAGGTCAGGATCATTACAGAACCAGAATCTTTTCAACAATCTCGAGATATATTGTCAGAGCTCCAGACCAGATATGGCAACAGTATCCAATGCACGTGCCAATGGTAGATTTATGAATGTGCAAGATGTATTCTGACGAGAAATATTGTCTGGCACGATCCAGTGAACCAATTTTTCGAGTAGTAGACCTAGTAATTGGTCCAAATTACCCTACCACTTTTCTTTTTTTTTTTTTTTAATTTTAATCACGTGAAAATTTCATCGTGTTGTTACTGGGCAGTAAACTGAGCATTTTCAGACAATTTCAGGAACTCGTGCAGTTTTCATACCTTTACATATACCGTCATCGTCGCGTACAAATTTCCAGGGACACAGGCACACAATTTTCCCATCTTCCCCTTCAGCGCAGATGTCACTACATGGACTAAGCTTGCATTGAAGAATTTCTGCAAGGGAATAACAAAGAAATTGATGTTTCCACAATAAAAGGTTTAAAATGTATCAATGCCAAAGGGAAGTAATTTGTTATTAAAGTTCTACATCAAAATTATCTACTGAAGAAACGCCTGGGTTTGTTGAAGACAGGAAGGATTTTTTACTGCTTTCGGTGCAAAATAATTGGTACATTTATGCACGAAATATGCGAGTAAATGTAACAAATATTATGGGAGAGATATCATCAATAGTACTACCTATATTCCATAAGAGCTTTTATATTTGTTATATGAAATATGCATGCAGATGTTACAACTGCTATGGGACAGAGGTCATATAAATTACTACATCTGTCCCGTAAGAATTGTTACATGAATTATACGAATTTAAATATTATTAAACAGAGTTATTATTATTTTTCGTAGTTACGGAAGACATTAGTTGACTTCATTGGGAACATTTTCCCTTTTCATAAGGAAAATGACTGAAGCTGAATTAAATAAATAAAATTGTTAAAATAATTCATAAAATAATTCATAAAATAATTCATAAAATTATTCATAAAATAATTCATAAAATAATTCATAAAATAATTCATAAAATTATTCATAAAATAATTCATAAAATTATTCATAAAATTATTCATAAAATAATTCATAAAATTATTCATAAAATTATTCATAAAATAATTCATAAAATAATTAATAAAATTATTCATAAAATTATTCATAAAATTATTCATAAAATTATTCATAAAATAATTCATAAAATTATTCATAAAATAATTCATAAAATAATTCATAAAATTATTCATAAGATAATTCATAAAATTATTCATAAAATAATTAATAAAATTATTCATAAAATAATTCATAAAATAATTCATAAAATTATTCATAAAATAATTCATAAAATTATTCATAAAATAATTCATAAAATTATTCATAAAATAATTCATAAAATAATACTTCAACTCAGAACTTCAGATTGAGACTGAAAACCACATTTATTGAAACTTTATTGAAAATTTATCAAAATAAGACATATTTTCGAATAATTGCTGGGATAATTGTTTTTCTTCATTATATAGATCAGACATCACCAAACATACAAACAAGGCCAGATAACTAAGAGAATGACGAGCGCGGGCCGGTTAACCATTTTGTTTAATACAATACACTGAATGCACAAAAATAACGACAACAAACATTTATTTACTAAAAAGTTATCAAAGAAGTCGAGATTAGCAATAAAATTGTTATATCACATCCAGTGCGCACATATCCGAATATCAAATCTAAGCAGCACAAAAGGTTAATGTGATTTGTAAGATTTTACCTGGTTTTTATTTTTTAAGATGTAATCAACATTTGATTTGGAATTGCTGCATCCAACCAAGAGAATTGCTTTCAAATGTTCATCAGTCAACCTCGTTACATGCGCTGACTTTATATATTTCAGATTTTATAATAAGTTCAGGTAAAATATATGACATAATTCGCTGAGGTCTGTTCTTTTTATATACGGCATTTTTCAAACCGGTTTAAATGCAAGTTTAGATGCAAGTTAGAACATGATCGCTGCAGTAGGCTCGTAATCGCTTTTCTTAGAAACTTCATTGCAGGTACTTACACAAAACGCGCTTGGATATCAAAACTTAACGAATTTTTTATTTCACAGATTTTCCTAAAACTTACTGTCAGATGCAAAAATCTGATTGGCCAAATTTTGGCATTTTTACTTTTTAATTTATTTTAATTTTTTCTACATAGTAGCTTTGACTACAACCTTTTGATAATTCCATATAAATAATTATATTTCAGCTCATTTGTGGCATAGTGCGGCGAAGGGGAGGATGAACTGACATCGCGGGCTGATCCATCCCGCGGGCCGTAGTTTGGTGACCCCTGATAAAGACAATGAAATTCCATATATTTTATCTTTGGTTATCGGCTCAAAGCAAAGCAATAGTCGTAACAATCCAAGCATGCGTTTGACTTACCTTCACTGCATGTTGAACCTTTATAGCCAGAATTACAGAAACATTTTCCGGTACCCTGAATTCCACTGTCACACAGACCATTGACGCACAAGCAGTCTGCAATTTTTTAAAAGTGATTATTAAAACGTTTTTATTTACAAAATTGATTAGAAAAAATAATTCACAATTAATTAATATCGTTACTCTTATAATTATTTGCTGTTTTCTTAGTTAACTTCTATATTTCTTTTCTTTTTTTCTCATTGTTATCATTATCATCATTATTTCCTGAGATTTCTGTTATATAATTATTTCCTTCCGGGTCACAACCAGAGACCTAAGGTACCATGACATTTTCACTGAATATTTTTGTTAACAAAAAAGAAAAGGCAACCTAAGATCACACACAATTTACATGGCTAAAGGGGTGAGCTGTACTTGTGAGTACAATTTTTTGTATTTCTTCAAAGCATAGGCTACCAGGAATCCTTTCAATGAGTCTATCGAAACATTTTCCAATGAATCCAAGTGTTACAACTACAACTGGAATTATTGTCCTCATGTACCACATTTTTATCAGAACATTTTTTAAGATTTCCATTTCAATATCCTTGTATTTTGACAGTTTTTTTTTTTAAGATCTTCAAAGATACATTACAGTCTGCAGGAATTGCCATATTAATAAGAAGGCACATTCTGTTTTTGTGGTCTTTGATCATAATGTCTGGACGATTAGCTTTGATTGATCTGTCTGTGTGTAAAATTGTTATATGTCCTATAAATGTAACCCGGTCTGGGTGGTGTTCATACCAGTTTCTTGCAGTTTCCTTTCCGTAAATGTTGCACATTTCTGCAGATTATTATTGTTATTATTATTATTATTATTATTTTTATTATTATTATTATTATTATTATCCATCTTCCCTGTCTTCTTGGCTATTTTCATCTTCTCTTTCTACATACTTTTTTATCAACACTATTATTATTATTATTATTATTATTATTATTTCCCATTTTCTCTGTCTTCTTGGTCATCTTCGTTTACTTCTTCTACGTCTTCTTTTTCTTCTATTGTTATTATTATTATTATTATTATTATTGGCCATATCCTTCGTCTTCTTGGCTACCATCGTTTTCTCCTTCTGCATTTCCTTTTTCTTGTTACTGTTACTACTATTATTATTAATATTCAAAAATTATCCGCACTTTCATTATAACATATCTTTAGGTTTGTAACACGACCTTCTGTTCATTCATGGTTGGCTCTATTGTGGTCATGTGATCTACGTTTGAGATTGATCGCTTCAGTTTTCTTGCTGCCGTTACAGTGTAAACATGACCTCTCCTCTGGCAGTATGTACCAAGGAGGATCTGAATCTGGAGAGAACATGCTACCTCATTGATTATAACTCGCCGGGTTGTCATTGCCATGTCTCGAGCTTGCTGAATCTTCTCGTCAGTGGTGATAGCAGATGGATTCATACCTGTTCCAAAAAGTAAATAAATGTAACGACTCCTAATGCTGTTCGAACCCGGCTCTTTTCGTTTTCCCAAGAGGTTATAAATATTGCGCAAAATGTTTTTTATATATGTATAGATGTGACAAAACGTTTTTATTTACAAAATGAATTACAAAACATTAATGTATATATATGATAAAATATAGTTTTAAGATATGCTATATTTATTGATTAAAGTGTTCAATATCAGGGATAGATCTTATGTAAATATAAAAGTGGACATTAATGTCAGTACACAGAGGTGACAGTCTGTTTCGTGCTTAAAAGCAACAGTCAGGACATGTACGTTGCGTTTTGGTTAATTATATATGTAGGTCAGTGGCGCATTGTGGGTAGGTTGATTGTATTATTCTAACGCTAATTTAGTTGGGCGGTAACGGTTATGTTTCGATTTAGTCTAGGGGCTATTGAGTGGAAATAATTGTGGATCCGAATGCAGATTTGTGGCTATTCTATAATGTTTATTGAAGATTAAGTAAATAATAAACAAACTAGCAAACTACGAACGTATACATGAGAAAAGTAATCGTAATATTAACAACAAAAAGCAAATAATAAAATAATAAATAATGAGTAAAAAGTTAACAAACAACACTATAAAATAGCCACAAAATTGCATTTGGATCCACAATAATCTCTGATAGTCTTTCAATCTTTCCGTTTCAGCTAATATCCTCTTCCTCCAAACCAGTGATATATATATATATATATATATATATATATATATATATATACGTTCACTTTCTGACCATGAGACCCCAGTTCGAATCTGACAATGGTCGATTTATCAAGAAGAAGACTGGAGTGGGAACGATCCCAGCGTGCGGTACCTTGGAAAGTGACTGAAAACAATACTATGGGTTGACCCAAGCCTTGTGAGTGAAATTGGATAGACGCAACACTAGGGACCGTCGATCAATCTGGGCTAGCAGGAGGGCACAAGTCATCGTGACCGAGGGTTGTGTGTACTGGTGTTGTTCGGATTGCTGATCAGTCGAGATAATACGCTCTCTCCCAGAAACTGTAACATTAAGTGTGGTCAACATAGTTGCTGTATAAGCACCTGTGGTTGTTGAACAAACACAAATGTGCCTGAGTGAGAGTCTGCAATAGTGATTGGCTAGCCACCCTAGTAGACGAATGCGTGTGACCAGCTATTATTCATATATATATATATATATATATATATATATATATATATATAGATATAGATAACTAGACTCGTTTCGAAAAACCCTCGAATTTTTGATTTGCTAATCAAATCAATCTCGAGGGAAAAAAAAAAGGTTTTAAAAAAAGAAAGAGCTACAAACATGAACTTCTGCCGACAAAAAAAATCGCACAGATGCAGGTCTGAAGCTCAAAGAAAAAAACCCCGATAAGAGTAACAACTAACTAACAAAAGAGTTCAATACAACAGACCTAGATACACCTACCTAGGAGCCAGACAAACCTACCTAGGTTTTCACTTAAACGGATCGTCAGGGAAAGTTTGGCCAAACTTTCCCTGACGATCCGTTTAGGTGAAAACCTAGGTCGGTTTGTCTTCACTAGGTGTATATATATATATATATATATATATATATATATATATATATATATATATATATATATATAGGGTGTTGCAACAAAATCCGACACTTGACAAAAGGAAAACGAAATGAAAATAAAAGAAATTTAGACAGCTATAGCACATCACTCTTGTGCTTTAACATCAATACGCGAAAGGTTATATATAGTCGATAGCTTAGGGGTTAGAATCTGCAGCTGATACCAAATCGATCTGGTTTATGTCCCGCCTTGGAGCATTCGGGTGTCTAGCGACACTGAGAAGCTGTGATACAGCGAAACAATCTGCCTGCGGATGACGATATTAGCTTCCGAAAATATGTAATTTTGTTGAGCACTGTGGGTAAGAAGAGCGTATATGTAAACAGTGACAATTACTGCTGATAATGTAAGACTCTCCTAACGGATTAAGTGGCGTGTTTTTGAAAAAAAAAAAAATAGGCAAAAATTCGCTTTTTTCTCAGCCAGCGTTACAATTTCTGACTGATACCAAATAGGTCGGGTTTCGGTCCCGGTTTGAAGCTATCTGATGTCTAGTCGCACTGAGGAGCTGTGGTACAGCGAAACAGTCTGTCTGTGGATGATGGTGTATATATATATATATATATATATATATATATATATATATATCATATATATATCATCTATCTATCTATCTATCTATATATATATATATATATATATATATATATATATATAGAATGGAGATCAACGTGTTTTAGTGAACGGAGCAGTTTTCAATCTGCTTGTCTGAATCGTCTTTAAGAAGCGAGAGCAAGATCTAAAAGGTCAACCAATCTAACAGTGATCTGATCCCACAATCCTCACTCTTGCTCCAGATGAGACCTCCTTTTTAAATCACTAGCGGATCTTAAGTGCCACTTAAGATTATCGCACAAAATTTCATAACTGAATCAATTGGTTAAATTGTCAGATCCTCATACGTCGAAACCGACGGGAGAATCCATTATATATGAAAGGAAGATGTACAAATGATTTTCATATGTGGTTCCTTCTTATTCCCTTTGCTTGAAACTGACAGTAGTGGAGAAGTATATGTGTAGAAAAATTTCTCATTATATTAAATACGTATCAGTATACACACATACGTATGTGTGGGTATGTGAGTGTGTGGGTGTGAGTCTGAATTTTCGCTGATTTTTCATCTGAAATTGTCACTATATAATGTTCGCTTTCTGCTTAGTGAATCTCTATTTATTTTACCTCTGCAGTTTGGTCCAAAGGCATTCATTTCTCGACATTGTTCGCAGGCGATCCCCGTGTATTTAGGCTGAAACGAAATTAAAAATACCAATTAAATATGCGATAAAAAAACACCTCATTTATACCTAATTATTCATTTTTATTCCTTCCTTCATTATTTTTTTGTTTACATTTCACGTTCGGCTTTCTCTGTATTGTTTAACAGTTTATTGATTATTAAATGTCTTTCTATTCGGGCCAGCATGATCGTGAGGTTTCGGTAATTATACCTTCTGGCCTTCTTCATATATCTGTCACCGTGCTCAGTAACTTTCTCGAGACTTTTGAACCAAACAGTTTATTAGTCTTGCAGCCATATCACGCTGCAACACCGGTTGCCGTACGATCACCGAAGTTAAGCAACGTCATGCATGATCAGTTCTGTAAGCGTGGATGAGACATAGTTTCGGCCTTGTGGGACATATAAGCTAGGCTTAGAAATCATTTGGGCACATCGACGTGATGTAATGGTTAGCAACCTTGTTTCGCGAGAACAATTACCACTGAATAGTGAGTTCGAACCTCACTGGGTGTCCCATAATTTCGGTTTTGTACCACATCTGAAATACGCTTAAAAATCACCATATGACATTTGGCATTTTCCTGATTATAAAACAATGCAATAAACAATTCCATAAGAATCCTTGATGAAAGAACCTCACCTGTATGCCAAATGTTAGGCCCCTTCCTCTGGATTTCAAAGAACTGCCTAAAATTAAAGGTTGCCTGCCTTTTTAAAAAATAATTTAGCTTTCGTTTTATCTTATATTCAATAATAATAACAATCATAGCGAAATTGACTGCATAATGTTTCTTTACAATTTTCGCTGTTTTTGCTTAATCTACATTGCTGACTAATGGTAATCGTAGGCCTGGAGGGTTTTAAATTTCAGGTGAAGCCCACTCTAAAACATTGCGCTAATGTGTAAAATAGTTTCAGCAGCCACGTTTTCTCTGGATGTCTAAACTGAGTCGATGTGGTTTACGCGGAGTTTAACAGGTTCGGGCCTAAATAACCTCGTTTGAACTCTGCACATGAAGATGAACAAAAAGGGCGAACATCATTGTTTCAGAATCAATCTTCTTAAATATCAAAGGTGAAACAGGAATAAATGGGACATTATTTTTATTTCAGATTCTACGAAGAAAGAAATTAAGAAAGAATTTTTTTTTAATGCCCCAAGAACCTCTAGGACATTGTTTAACCTTTTTGAATAATCTAGTATTATGCCAGGTCACTCTACGATTACAACCTGCTGCATGGTCAGATCACTGGCAAATAAACCGGTTCCTCCACCAGATGAACCCTCTGGTATGACCAACAGCCATCTTGCAGAATTGGGCAGACTGGGTTTCATACCTATGGATGCAGCCTGTGCGGTGATGACATGGCATCGCTGGGTGTAAGGTTACCCCAATGAAATCAACGGGCACGTGTCCGTGATCAGATTGACCCAACAAGTTGGAAGAACATCGGCTGTGTCTTCATCTGGAGAGCGATGGTTTTCGTCAGGTCTACTTGCTCAATGCAGGCTACGCATGAATGATACCTCCCTGGTTTTCAACCTAGATATGTGGAGGGAACTGGACAGGTACTCAGCTGCGCAGTAACCCTACGACTATACTCAATCATGGGACAGGTGATGATGATGATGGTGATGATGATGATGATGATGATGATGATTAATAGGAATTCAAAAATACTTCTATATAATATTTCTCTTATAAATACAGTAACTTCATACAGGACCCTGTTGAGAACTACTGTATTAAACGATGCAAGATTAATTATTGCGAAAAATCGTCAAAAATAGAATTATGACTGACTGAAATATGTTTTGCTTACATCACATATGCAGTTACCATTTTCGCAACGTCCATTGCCATTACATGGATTATCGGCACCGCCAGGGCATTCTGTAAAAAAAGGAAGAATTGCAAGGAAGTTAATTTTTAAGATACAACTTAATTGTTTAGTACGCAGATAAAAAAATAATGTTAAGAAAATATTATCATCTGTAACACTCTCAACTCTAATTTTACCCTTCATTTTCTTTCTCTTGATATATCATTTCACCCCAAGTAAGGCAATATAATCGCTAAGACGCAAGGGGCTTACTGAATATCTGACCGCATGGGTAGCAGACCAAATCTGGCAGAAGTATTCAAAGCAAAGACAAATGGTAGACTTATAAATGCAAAAGATGGATCCTTGGGAGAAAAATAAGAATATAAGGAAATATGAAAATATTAGAAAAACACTGTTAAGGAGAGAGAACAATAAAAAGAACGAGAAATAAGTAAACAGAAGATAACGATTGATATTGCATTTAAATTTTTTACGATCAAAGTTGACTGGGACGCAAGATGCCAGAGGCGAGAAATTCGAGAGAAGAAAATGTTAGCATAGAACTTACGACTGCATCTAGCCATTTCAATTTGAAAATGATGAGACCTCGCTGCCGATCTAGTACTGCGCTTAAATTTATAAAGTCTAGATGCCATAGCGAAAGTTCATCAGCACAATTGTTGTAGAATCCCTATGGACGATAATGGATATGTCCCTCTTTACATAAATACAGTAGTAAATACTGTATGTTGGTCCGAATTTGGAGATTCGTCTTCAGCTGTGCTGGTCAAACTCTCCGCCTCCTGGCAGAGAGGATTACCAAACGAGGCTATGTCGACGGGCAGAGTCTCGACTCGGGAAACAGCTACCCGACCCCGTTTTATACGGGGTCTTCGAGGAATCTTTGGTCGTGTCAACGGGCTCGGATTGACCACATTAAATTCGGCCTTGTGTCACATCTGACCGCGTGGGGTGGTTAGTAGATATCCTGCAGTTGGAGATTCACTGTAGATTTCACTTGACACACTTCTAGCAATTGACTACTTCTACGCGATGCTGGCTAATCTTATAGGTGTTGTTCTTGTCCTAAGTATTATCGTTCATTACCAATATTCGTTTGATTATTCTATTCAGTAACCTTCCCTAGGTCACAATATTTTGACGACGCGGATGAGATAAAATTTCAACAATAATTATCATGAAAGTTTTTATAGAAAAAGCACAGGGAAGCTACGTTACCGCGGTGGGAAAGTGATTGGATCCGTGGTGTCAGGAATAAAGAAGAATCTGCAATGTTATTGTCAGGACCAATAACATTGCAGATTCTTCTTTGGATTTTACCAAGAATCTCTAAATGAATAGCAAGAGTAGCAGACCAGATCTGGCAAAAATTTTCAAAGCAAGGACAAATGGTAGACTTATAAATGCAAAAGATGGATCCTAAGGAGAAAAATTTCTAGAACAACACAGTGAACCAACATTCCTAGCAGCAGAGCTATCAATTCATTCGATATGATCTTTCCATTTCATGTCAGAGGAAAATGATAACCTTAGTCATTTTCCTGGAGGTGAGCATCAGCCATGCTGCAGAAAGACAGAAAGGGATCTCTCAGATGACTGATAGATAGCACTTTCGTTTTGGAGGCTTTCAAATTAACAAGCTATTCCTTGCCCCAGTTAACAGCAGATTGTAGGTCATTTTTAGATCGGCTGCCAATTTAACCAAATCGATCTGATCTGACTTACTATTAAGCCAGGAGTAAATATTTGTATTATCACCATAGATACCGAGATGCCATCAGGAAGGGCATTGATGAAAATAAGGAACAGCATGGGTTCAAGGGGGGTGCCTGAATTGATACAGATAGATAGAGAAGAGTGGTCGATCAGCTGCCAATTTGGTCTTATGAAATCATTTATTATTAAGACAGAAGTAAATAGTTGTATCATCAGCATATATACCAAGTTGAGAACTGATGACATTGGGAAGGTTGTTGATGAAAATTAGGAACAACGTCGGTTCAAGGGGATGCCTGCATTAATACAGATAGAGTTGTCATCCAGGATAACTTTCATTTCGTGATTTAATAAGACTGAATCAGTTCAAAAATTCGTCCAGAAATACCATAATTATTCAATTTGTGAAGACCAGAATGCCAAACCCTGTTAAATTCTTCCGAGATATCGAAAGCAACAGCTCGAGATTTACCGTTCTTAACTAAAACTTGATAGACTCTTTCAGCAATAATCGTTAATACATCAACAGTCGAGCTAGAAAAGCGAAAGCCATATTGCTTATCTGAAAGAAGATCCTGCTTGTCTAATTCAGAATTGATTAGAGACTCTAGTACTTTACCAAAAAGAGGTAGACATCTAATTGACCGATATTCAAAAGGATCAGACGTTTCACCTGACTTCTTAAAGACTGGAAATACAGAAGAGGATTTCCAACAAACCGAGAATCAAAAATAGCCAGGCATTTATTGTAGAGTTTAGAGAGAGCAGGAGCCATTTCAGGATCACATTTCTTAAGGACTATTGAAGGAATGCCATCAGATCCTCATGTTTTGTGAGGATCCATTGTAGAGATAATAGCACAAACCAGAGAGGGGGTTATGTGCATATCACTCAATAGGGACTCAATTCTGAGGGGAAAGTCAGGCAGAGATGCTTCATATTAGTCAAAAGTAGAATTAGAAGAGAATTTACGAGCAAAACATTCTACGTTACAGCCGTAGATGTTAACACCTCAAAATGAGTGAAGAGAGGAAGGATGAAGGACTTACTCTTATTTAACACACTGATACAGAGGCGCCAATAGTCACAAGAGTCAAAATTGTTAAAGGCTATACGGTACTTCATTCTAGAAAACAAAGGCTTAGCCACTTCGAGGACACATTTACAATTATGCGCAGTATATATACAGGGTACGATGGGTAAATAATCGCCATTTTATATTTTTAATTTCGCGCATGCGTATTGCTTGATTTTGGTTTTGTCGACTGTACAGTATAGCAGAGTCAGTTGGGCACTGTCTGTGAAAAAAAGAGCACCATGACGCAATTTATTCTTTAGAAAATTGTGCTGTACTGCTTGGCATTCGCACCGGAAGCTCCAATACGAACCTTTCAGGGTGTTTGGAGGTCAATCTGAGGACAGTATAGAGGATTCTGAAAGAGTTTGATGAGTCTAATGGTGATTAAAAAGGTACAGAGGCTCGGAAAACTCATTCTGATTGTTCTGATAAAAAAAGAACTCCATTCATCTTCCCACAGGGAATGTTGCTGTTGTCAGTCAGTTCTCCCTGTGGAGATTATACTCTCTGAGAAAACCCAAATCCCTGTTTAATCCCTCATTATGCAATTAATGTTTAATCAGACTTTGAAGGATTAAGCAGGGATTTGGGTTTACTCAGAGAGTATAATCTCCATAAAGAAAACTGTCCACGAACATCTTATCGTTGAAAAAGGACACAGGCGTGTCCGAAAATTGCGACTTTAAAATCTTTCTCTTTGTGCTTCAAGTTAGTAAAAAATGTTAATCTATATATATATATATAAAGTTGTAGCCTCTGTCTGTCGGTTTGTTTGTTATCGAACTCCTCCTAGAGTTTTTGAGATACCCCATAACTATATATATTCTGAAACTACACTACTCAGGGTATTTGGATAAGTATATTTCATTTTGATCAAAGTGTGTGTGTGTGGGGGGGGGCTGGGGTACACAAATCTCTCAGTGAATTTTTTTCCCTTTGATTTAAATTAAATTTTAATTTAAACAAGGGAATCCAAAATATAGAAGGAGAAAGCCAGAAGATGGAGGCCACATCGGTAAGCTCATTTAGTAATACTGAAATGCATCATTTTTCTCCACCAATTATACGAGTGATTTAAAATCAATAATCATTTTCTTACAAAAATATTTGTGACACGCAGCAAGGCGTGGGTAATTCTCACTTGTATATAATAAATATCATCAATTTTATTGCGAATACGGTTATCATTTTTAGACTTTTTATTCCTCAAATTTTTACTAAGCGACCTATTAAATAAACATATCATGAAAAGCACACATGAACTTTCATTTTAATTATATATATATATATATATATATATATATATATATATATATATATATATATATATATATATATATATATATATAAATAAATAAGGCTCAAACACTAATATTCCATGGTTATCATTTATTATATTGGAATCGTAATCTACAAATTCATCTACCTGGATTCTATCCTCTTGGAGATATATATATATATATATATATATATATATATATATATATATATATATATATATATATATATATATATTGGTCACTAATATTATCTATGTATCTATCTATTTATCTATCTATATAATTTCCATAGTCATTTTCATAGTAATGTTTGTGTGTTAAACTTTTTTTACTTGTAGGCATTAATAACTAGATTTATTTAAAAAAGATTTTAGCCATAAAAACATATCTTTAAAAAAAACGAAAAATCAATCTGTAGACGAATTAATTATAACGAAAAGACGTCTGCTTTTATACATTTTGTCATGAAAGAAAGAAAGAAAGAAGGAAAGAAAGAAAAAAAAACGCTCATCTTTTTTTCTCCAAATAAGGGAGCAGTTCGTTTTGGTCTTATGCCCTTTAGTTTTAACCACTTGTGTGAAGTCGAGACATTACCATGAATTTGGTCTAGGCAAAAGATTCTTTCTTTTTTTTTGCAATGAGTTGCGGCCCCTTGACTGATGCGAAAGAAAAGAAAAAAAAAAAAGCAAAGCAGATGAGATTCGACTAGAAGACCTATTTTTACCTACCTCCTGAAACAGACTATTCCAGCAAGAAACAACCTATTTATTCTCAGAAAAGAGCTTGAAAAGAAGTCGCTCTGCTTTGAGATATATACACTTTATGGAAGTCGAAATTAGATTACCCTTTCGTTTGGGTAGATCCAGTCTTTTCATAGCCAATAATTTTGCTATGAAATTCGAATATTATCATCTACCAAATATCTGAAAGAAAATTGAAGGTATCTAAAACATTTATATATATATATATATAT